GCTCAGTGCTTCAGTTTGGCGCTGAAGAAGACAGCCAATCACTGCAGAGAACGGAACGGGTCACGTGCTGCTGCTGCTGCTGTTGCTCTGGAGGCGAAGAGGAGGCGCGACGTGTGCACAAACGGAAGACATGTGTCCCGGACCGTCCGGGTCACGGGACATCATGTCATTTTGGTGGGGACTTTTTAGTCCTCACCATATATTGGTGGGGACATGTCCCCATGGTCCCCACGCAAACCTACGCCCTTGCTTGACTGGCATCGGGCTATTCTGAGCTTTAAAATGATCTATAACAGAGCTGAAGTTGGATGGATGATACAATGAACTTGTGTTTGTGATCTCAAGGACGACTTTGGGTTAGCAAGGCAGAGGGGCGCAATTGGCCCCTGGGCCTGAGTTTGGACATGCCTGACCTAGAATGAGTCTGGTGTGTGTGTGAATGGTTGGTGGTGGTCAGAGGGGCCAATGGCAAAAACTGGTTGCCTCGGTTTTGTCAGTGTGCCCCAGGGCGGACGTGGCTACAGTAGTATCTTATCACCACCGTGTATGGAGTGAAAGAATAATGACGTGAATTGTCTTTGAATATCCAAGAAAGGGCTACATAAAACAACTGCATTATTGTCATCTTGAAGTGAATTTTGTCTATGTTATTTTGTCCATCTTAAGATAAGATAAGAATTCCTTTATTCTTAACCATTTAATATTCACTCCTTGAAGAAAGAAATGAAAATGTTTCTCTTTTTTTCGTCTTTTCTAAAATGTAGGAGCACTAATAACACTTTTTTGAAACACTAGTTTTTATTATAGGCCTTTACCAAAATGATTGAGATGCAGCTTGATGGTAAAAGTTGCAAGTAGATATCGTGAGATTTTTCAAATGGTTGAAGAAACAATCAATGGGTTGAGCTGGGACTTGGAACTTGGCAAATAACACAACAATAACTGCTGAAACCATGTTTTATCAGTGCAATTCATAAATGTAGTGATGCTCCTACTGTATTAATCCATCTGAGGAACAAGTCTCATCTATAGATTCCTCCCATTTTGGCCTGTACTGTACACTAAAGCTTTCACTGTAACTTTCACTTCTGGAGTACACACCTCCAAAAATATGCAGGGTGTAAAAGGGTGTAAATCCATATCATGTTGTGTTGAGCGCCTGCCCTTTCTCTGGTTGCACGTAAATACTTTGAAGGTCTCACAGCTGGAGCGCAGCAGCAGCAGCGTCTGATCTCTGCAGAAACTTGCTGCATGTTGCACAGATGACCTGGAGTCGCGTCCTCCTGGGACATGGGCAACGAGACAAACTATTCCCAGAACCAGAGCCTTCCACTGTGTTGCATTCAAGTGAAACTCACACAATTACATTTGTTAGGATTCAATAGCAACAGAAAAACAGGAACAGAAAAACAAATATTTGGGTTGAGAGCTGCTTTGAAGTTCAGAGCCTGTGCTGCACCTGAACAAAGCGTTGCGTTTGGTCTGTAAATGAAAAGATACAGTTTCATTTTGAAGAATTTGTTTTATTCCTGACCACGAGACTCCACACGGGTCCTGGGCCTGGGCTGGCAGCTCGTCCCGGCTCATGTTTTATGGAGGGGAACGTCTCCAGCGGTGACTCCTTATTTCTCTGCAGGCGCCCTGACCACAGCTGCCCTGACCCAGCTGCCCTGGCCCAGCTGCCCTGGCCCAGCTGCCCTGACCCCAGCTGCCCTGACCACAGCTGCCCTCACCTCAGCTGCCCTGACCACAGCTGCCCTGGCCACAGCTGCCCTGAGGAAACACAACTGTTGCGTACTTAGAGCTGTTACTGTTACCTTTTAGGCTCACAAGGTCCTTCTAACTTAGACAAAAGTGTAAAGATCTAGTACTGCTTCATTTCCTGACATGTTTGAGTGGGAGACTTAAACAAACAAGTTGACATAATTAACTCTTTGCATTTAATTTTCACCTAATGTATATTTTTTTGTCTCGAAAGATCCACAGATTAGAAATTATTCTAATTTTGAATGATTAAGTCCAGTTGTAGTTTATTTCTCTGTTCAAGGGATAATTTGTTTTCTTTTATATATGTCCACTTAACATTTACTAACTTATAATATATTTAGCTTTGCATTTTTTGTAATGAACTATATGAAGTGGCATAAATAGGTGGGGAAATAAGTGATTGACTTCACTTAACTCTTAATCATATACAAATATGTGGTGAGGAATGGCTTAGTAAGAGTTGCAAAAAATGTTCTAGAAATAGTGTGACCATGATGAAAGCCACTCCAGTGAAACCACATTTCAATGACATGCCATCCTTTGTCCATAAAGGGATTGTCAAAAGTGTTGAGAGAAACAGGTGCCAGAAAAGTCCCTAATTTGAGAAAGTACTGATCCAATAATGACAAAAGGAAGACATTTGACATTTTAAACTATCAGAAAAAAATCTCATGGCCCCATTTGAACCCAGAGTGAAGGACTGATATATTCCTGCACTAGTGTGTCAGGTACAGAACTTTACTTTAATCTCTATCTTAAGTTTAATAAAGAAACAAAGTTTATCAAGTATAAATGTATAGAGTTGTGCAGTACTGGACAAACTAACATCTGCAGGACTATGACTGTCACCCCCTGCAGGACACTCTCTGCATAGCAGTTTCAGTGACTCGCCCTCGCTGTGAGGAGAGGTTCTTTCCTGCTGCTGTCAGACTGTACAACAAACAATGCGGACAAACTTGAATTAATATGAAACCACACACGTTCACTGTCACTTAGTCCATACCCACATGCAGATGGAAACATACAATTATATATTTCTTGCACAGAATATACAGCATTTTAAGATTTTGTACTCAATTCTTGCATCTTCATTATGCTAATCAAGAGTTTTCATACTTACTTCTTTTTATACTAAAATTTGATTTTGTTTATAGTTATTGATCATTTATCCTGCCCTGTGTGCTCCTCATTCCAGATCAGTAACTGGTGATACAACAATTATATTTCCCCTCTGAGGGATAAATAAATGATCTCTTAATCTTAATAGATTGAATTATATTTCTAAGTTGAAAAATGACTGTTTATTGTCCAAAAAGAGCATTTATAAAAGATGTGGTGTGTGCCGTCCTGGTGTGAGCATGTGCAGTGTGCTGTAATGATGCAGTAAATGGCAGGCAGCAGCAGACTAAACAGACACGCTGCTGGCTTCTGCGCTCCCACACCTCTGTAAATCACTTCAGGACGTGGGCCCCTTCAGTCCAACACTGAAGCAGCATGGACTGAAGCGTGGCTCTGGGGAAGGAAAGGTAGTTCACTTACTGCTCGAGGCGCTCCATAATCAGCAGGTTAATAATAATGGTAAAGTTAAAAAATACATTTCTTTACCATCAGTTATCTTTTCTGACACACACACACAGATTCATATTTCTGACACGCACACACAGATTCATATTTCTGACACGCACACACAGATTCATATTTCTTAAAGTTTCTTTGAAACCTTTTACGATTCATCTTTTGAAATGTTTCTTTTCAACTTAATTTAAATCATAAAAGCCATTATTAGGTCAAATCACTTTTTCAGACCCTATAATCACAAAAACTGTATACATTTTTTTTCCAATGAATGATTTTAAATCTAACATTTGTGCATACATTGGAGTATACTGTACATCAGAGTCTGATCTAAGACTAAAGGCCTGTGGCTCTGACATCTGTAGTCAATCTGTAGCCTCGACTCTGATGCTGATTAAGTTTGCGGACGACACCACCCTCATTGGTCTCATATCCGACAATGATGAGTCCAGTTACAGGAGGGAGGAGGAAGACCACAAGCCTCTTTGAATATTTTGAGACAACTTTCATTACAAATGATAAGGTTAAACAAAAACCACAACCTCAAAAGTACAACAATGTGCTGTGCCTACGTGCAGGACATTTTTTCTATACAAAGTAATCCTGCTTCTGAGGTGGAAAGCACAATAAAAGACACAGGTCGTTGGACAGCCCACATTTGTATTGTATTGTGTGCACTTACAGGTATAATGTACAGTACAAGCAGATGATAAAAACAAGATAAAATGGAAAAGTACAAACGACAGCAAAGTGTACATTTACAATAGATACTTTTAGCATTCAAGTACCACTCGTCAGTCCTCACACTCTGAAGTCAATGGGATAGAATCACGGTGTACAGTTTCCTCACAATTACAGGTACAGTCTGTGTTTGGGCCAGCTCCACAGTGATGGGCAATAATACTGTGAAAGGTAAAGAATCTTTGACTGAATGCACAGAAGACTAAACAAAAACTCTTTACGGTTGGTACAAAAACTCCAAAAGGTGCACCGTGCAGCCACTTGTCTCCATTACCGCGTTTTTAAAATGTGAGGAATGTTTCAAGGAATTACATGAAACTGATCCACAGTATTGGTTTCACACAAGTTTGATGTAGTTCAATAAATGAAAGACCGGTGTTTCATCCTGAGAAATCCTCACAAGACAAGCAGGCGGCAGGGGTGCACCTTTAGCATGCAACAGTTGAAAAAGTTCATCACGTCAAAGTCTTACCCTCCCACACGGTAAAAACATCAGTGGTGTCTTGAACACAGGTTTGTGCAAATAAGTAAAAACATACTGACATTCACAAAAGCGACATTTTTACCAAACACAAAAAAGTCCTTTTTTGACAATAAAAAGAGGTCAATTTGTTCCATCTTTAAATTTGACAATACCCCTGCACAATCAGACTGAGTGACAATGCCGATCTTTCCCCGGGCGTTATGTACCATTTTCTCATCGGCGTCACAAGTTAAAAAAATCAAAAGCACGAGAGGTTTTCAATCTTCCTCTTCATCGGACTCAAGTGCTGTCTCCATCAGCCGCAGTAATCGCAGCTGCTCGGCCTAACAATACTTACGTGTAATAACTTCAAACATCCATTTCTTTTTAATCAAACGGGCACTTGTCTTCCACCCTTCAGACCTGGTGGTTCTGGACGGGCAGAGGGCTGTGGTCAGGGTTTCTGGTGGTCGTAGGCCTGGTAACGGTTCAGCTTCTCCGGGTCATTGGACGCCATGTGACTGAAGTCCTGGAAGATGTCTTGATACGTTTCATCCCCTGAAGAATCAGACAGAAGACTTCAAAGCACTGACCATGGAGCAGTACGTCAACAATCATAAGTATTACACACATATATATATATATATATATGTTATATATATATACTGTATATACACGCGCACAGTGAAGCAAGACCAGAGCTAAAACTAATGTATAATCACCATCATTTTAATTGGATTAAAGAAAAGCAATCAATGACTTCTTGACGCTAAATCGGTTTTACAAACATGCAATTGCAGGTTTTTGTCAATTATCAAGAACACAAAACTGCATTTTTAGGCCTGTCACATTTATTACTTTATTGTTCAAAATGGTGAACGGTAAATGGTATATTTTCTGCTCAAATTCTGATGGGTTTTTTTCAGTTCAAGCCATTTAATAAAAACGTGTGAAAAGACGTGTACTGGGATATAAAGTTGTCTGATTTAAAGCACTTCTGAAATTGTTTATCACAATATACAGTTTTATCAAAGGCGGAGTAGGTTCTCAGTAATTACGGCAGTACAAAGTACAAGATCATATAAAAAAAAACACTATCAAAAAGGCCTATAATCACATAAATTATACTTTTATAATTATCAGTCCAAAGTTACCAAGTAGCCCCCTTTAAAGCTGGGAAACCTCACTTTCAAACCGCAAACAAAAGGTAAAGTAAAAGGTACCCAGCTTTAAGTGAATAAACAAAAGATGGATAAGCCAATATTCTGGACAAAGTATAAATCTCTTTGGAGAGTAGTTAATAAAACATTGATACTAAATACAAAAGCGCAGAAAGGCAAATGAAGACCAAGATGAAGGTGTTAATGATAAAAGAAAAGTCACTCGTACCTGTAAGTGTGAGCGCCTCAACAGAGACACGCAGAGAAGGGAGAAAGCCAGAAAACAAAGAAGCAAAAACAACGCTGAAGAAAAGAGACACAGGAGAAAGAAAGCAGGCCCAGAGAGGTTCGTTTAGTTAACACCTGTATTGTGTTTAAAGTGCACGGTATATGTACAAAAATACAGCTGTGACCGCCTCAGCAGCACCTCAAAGAAAAGAACAGAAGAAAGGCACAAACTCTGAGAGAACAGAGGACAAAACAAATAAGACAGCAAGTACAGTCAATGTACAGAAAAGAAATTTTCAGAAAGCTGTTGAAAAGGTGACAGTTTCCCAGATTTGGTCAAAAGTAGAGAGACAAGAAACATAATACAGCTTTTATCTGATATCTCCAATATCCCAGGTCAGATCCGCAGGAATCATGAATGGCTAATATTATTATGTCAGGCTGTAATATATTATTATTTTGATTATCGAAAGCTCATTAGATACCAAAAAGGTCTGCGAATTTCTTTTTTTTTTTTACATTTGACCTCAATAAAGCAATTTATATAAATGAAGTCAAGGAGACTATTAGGATTTTAACGCTGTTAGCTACTCCTTTTGAGCCCCATGTGGCATAATCTGTCATAATAAAATTATCTGAGCCATAAAACCTTACTAAGCTTGTTTCTGCTCTTATCACCTGTTTTTATTGTATTTTTTGTACATATAAATATACTTTTATTGTAATTCTGTATTCTTTCCTTGGGACTACAGTTGTAAACTAGCTGTAAAACTTATACTGTACTTTTAAAGTAATGTTGATTAAGGTGTACTGTCATTATTAATAATAGATGTATCAATATAACCAGTTACAGCTCTACCATTATATCGTGAAGTCTTGAGGGTGGTTGCATGATTAGAACTCATTATGCCACATTCATGCTCACTGAAGCCCTCTCATCACATACACAACTTAACATCTGATTGCACAGATGCGTTGCCAAAGCAAAACAACCTGAAAATATAAGAGGCGAAAGATGGAAGCACTTCTTTCCTGTATTTATCTGACTTAATGTGCAGACATCTAATTGCTGTCTATTTATAGGTCCAACCCGTCTCTTCATATCGAATAACAAACAACCAACCACCACTATTCCAGCGACCACCAACACTCCTCTTCTCTCACAATACAATCTAAATGCTTGAGAAATATCTAAGATCGCCGATGTGTAAAGCTCCCATTTGAAAGTGCATGTTGCCCTCCAAAAAAAGGGGCATTTTGGGGCGACTTAAATATATCTCAATAAATAAAACTTGCTCTGTTCATCTCCCACATCTCTACACAAACTTACATACATACCAAACAGAAACATAACGAGTCATTAATTATATAAGCAGTACAGTAACAGTAACATGTATCCGATCTAATCTGCCCAGATTTACTCAAACCACCGACATTCAGAACAATAAATGCACTACGCAAGTTACAATTCAGGATTTCAGGTGGGAACGGGTGATAAACAGTCCCTGAAAAGTCCATTGTACCAGGCAGACTGCCCCATTCAGTTCATCCAAAATTATATATATTTTTTTCATTAAAATAGACGTCTCTTAAATACATGTGTAGCAAACCAAATCACAGCAGATATCAGGCAATGAACTGGTTACGAATAGTTTTACAGTGACATCAAAACACACTGGTTGCATATCAATGGCTAGGAATGTGCATTACTTCCTGTTACATATTGCACAATAACTTATGGCTTCAATACGAACATGCATCAGAGTAATAGTGTGTTTAGATGGATGCTACAGTTAGTAGTAGCCCATAACAAACTATGGTAGTAGAAGAATTGACAGTAAATGTTTGTACAATGAGGTTTCACTGCTGCAGTTTGAGTCCAGGATGTTGGTTGATATCAATAACCAATGTGTAAGGCCCAAATTGTTTTTCATTTGTGAATTTCAAAAGCACCATTAATAATTACTATTTTATACAAAAATATTAGGCAATAAAATAACCATTTAAAGGGAATATTCTCTGTCACTTTAAAGCAGTGCTTCTCAATCATTTTATGCCAGGCCCCCCTTAGGAAGAAGAAAATATTTAACGCCCCCCCTTAATCTTTAGAGCCCAAAAAGTCAAACGTGACTAACAGAGCCCGTTCTTAGCAGAGTGGACAAGGGGGAGAACTGCTGTCATTGAACAAAAAGCCGCCACAGTTGCCCTGGCATCAGAGCGGAGCAGTAACGGAGGATGTGGTGTTCCCTGTGGTCCCTTGCACCCCCTGGCATTGCATTGTGCCCCCTGGGGAGGTCTGCCCCACTATTTGAGAAGGACTGCTTTAGAGAAAGATGCTTTGTGCTATTAGTGATTATCATCTCACTGAATGGTATTATTCCATTTCAGAACAAACAGTGTCTGATGGCTACCATTATTCCCCAAGCCAACAACAGCTCAAGGCATCCCAGCGGCCACTTTAAAGCTTAGGAGAGCTCACACAGATATTTCAAAAATAAAACATTTGTATTTAAAGTGAACCCTGTGTTTTCTACGTTTCTCCGAGCTGCAGACTTATGAACTCCTGCATACACTTCCTGTACTGCATCTCAGTGGGGCTGTTGGAGTTGTATTGACCTGACTGACTGTAGGGCCCTTCTGCCTCTCGCATCTCCTCATTCATCTTGGCCAATCTGAGCCTGCAAACGACAAAACCACACATGTAAAATCAGCACAAGCACGTGTGAATGTTTTAAGCGTTAGATAGACCGTGACACTCACAGAGTGACGATGTCTGCGTTCGCTGCATCCACTGCAATAGAAAGAGGCGTTTTCTCATCTATGTCTGCAGCATTTTGATTCGCTCCTCTCTTTAAGAACAAGCACACTTGCCTGAAATGCAACAGTCAATATGTTTTTAAGTGATATGGAAAGAAATACAGAAATCAAAAGAGTGTAAACAAACCCAGTGTGTCCGAGCATGGTGGCGTGATGGAGAGGTCCTCGTCCTTGAGCGTCCTGCTGATTTACACTGGATCCATTTTGTAGCAGAAACTCACATGTGACCAGCGACCCCTGTGGGTAAGAAGCATGAACAGCACTTTAAACATTCATGTCCTCAGTAAATACAAACACATACAGTACAGAAAAAAGTTTGGACACACTTTGTCATTCAATGAGTGACCTTTCTTATCATGACTATTGATTGTAGATCCACACCCAGGCTGTGTAAGGGCTGTTTGACCAATAAGAAGAGTGGTGGGTGCTGGGGCAGATGACCTGGCCTCCACAGTCACCGGACCTGAACCCAGTCCAGATGGTTTTGGGGTGAGCTGGACCACAGAGTGAATGCAAAGGGGCCGACAAGTAGCTAAGCATCACTGGGAACTCCTTCAAGACTGTTGGAAGACCATTTCAGGTCACTACCTCTTGAAGCTCATCAAAAGAATGCCAAGAGAGTGTGAAGCAGTAATCAGAGCAAAAGGTGCTACTTTGAAAAACTGAGAAAAGAAGACATATTTTCAGTTGTTTAAAAAAAATTTTTTAGTACGTACATAATTCCACATGAGTTAACTCATAGTTTTAATGCCTTCCGTGTGAATCTACAATTTTCATAATCATGACAATAACAAACTCTTTGAATGAGAAGGTGTGTCCAGACTTTTGGTCTTTACTGTATGTTTGTCTGTAGGAGCGCCCATTACCCCGTGCACAGCCATGATTAGCGGCGTACGCTTCTCGTCGTCCGTGTTGACCCAGTTCACCTCTCCTCCGTGGGCCAGAGCCTCAGCCATGTCGGGCAGGCTGCGGGCGCAGGATGCCCAGAAGAGCTGCAGCCCAGGGCTGTACTCCTTTGGCTCATAGAAGGACACGTCCTTACAGGGAGAGGGCGGTGGCAGGGTGCTGGGCATGGCCATCGGCGGAGTGTCTGCGCCACCGAGGACAGGGGCCTGTGCTCCATGTGAGGCGTCTCTCCCAGCTTCACCCAGGCTGTTGTTGGACGCAGAAGGAGCCTGAGGCGGCATCTCTCGACTTTCATCACTGCTGTTCTGAATGCCACTGTCTGCACTTTTGACTAGAAGATAAATGGAAAATAAAGTAAGTTACCAAAGACACATAATCTGAGACAGACAAAATAAACTATAAGGAATACCTCAGGAGCATTGCATATCAATAGACTTTTCAATTTGGACAAAACTTCACAAGATAATTATGTACATGAGGTAGTTCTTATAATTTAACTTTGATTGTCGAATTGCTTCAGAGCTGGAAAAAAATAAACAAAAAGATACCAAACATGAATCCTCTCCATCACCTTATCCAGATAGTTACCAAAACCACTATAACAAACCGTGTCCTCCCCAATTCAAGTTTAGAAATACAAGTCATAAAGTGGTCCCATAGTCCGACCAAGGAAAAACAGAAAAGTAGATGAAGGTAATTAGTTCACAATCCAAGCCATGAGATGAATGGAGGAGGCCAGGAGCAGCAGGGCCCAGAAACATGGAGTACTTACTGTTCCTGAGTTTGGAGGAGGTGTCAAAGTAGGAGAAGAGCGAATCAAGCTCATCAGGACAGAAGAGAGAGTCACGGCGCGCCCCGGAGCCACTGGCAGCAGCTACGCAAGGGATGATGGGAGTATGGGAAATTGGTTGGCAAAGGGTGTCGGTGGGCAGCGGGGGAAACGGGTGGAGGTTTGTGGGGAGGTGGGAAAAGCAGGATTAGTCCAGAAGCACAGATCAGCCAGGAACACGGGCAAAAACATAACAAAAGACTGAGCGCTCGGACCGAGGGGAACAGTGACACCGTCTGGCAGACACTGGAATAGACAAACTACAAGAAGCAAGGGAGGCAAAAGAGCTCAGACATATGCTGTTCACACACAACACTATGCCGAAAACAGAAGAAGCTGCTTTCAAAGTACTTTTGCGTACTTTAATATTAATGTTATATTATTTATTTCTGAACATTTTTATGAAGGCTTTAAATAAATAAATACACACTTTCCATTATCTCTACAGACAGACAACAGTACACTCACAGCTATCACATAAAACACAAGGACTCGTCTACTTGGCAGAAGTGACAAAAGTACTAGTCTTTGCTACTTAGTGTAAAAAGTAATTCTGGTAAAAGTATTGAAATAATTCCCGTAATTAAGAATAAAGTACAAGTTTTTGTATGTACTTCAGTAAAAAGCCTTTTGGTTGAATAATAAGAGTTACCTTTGAAACAAAACAATATTATACTGTTGTAGAATATGACAAACAAAACATGTAGCCAAATGATTATGTGATATGTTTTTATGTCGTTTTTCCATCTACAAAGTAAGTACCCATTTAAAAAGTACATCTCTTTGAGTTTAAAAGTGAAAAAAAGTTGAGTACTGATACCAGAACAAATACTGAGTTACTTGCCACCTCTGCTATTATGCGGTACTATTGCAGGCTGGCACTCACCTGTTTGCCCTGAGGAGTTTGATCCGGGTCTCAATTTGGGGGTGGGAGGCGGCGCTCGGGGCATATGATCAGAGCTGCTGCTGAGCCTCTTCTCTTGTTTGCTCAAAGACACAACTTTAGACCGGAGCTGGTCGTCTGTGGGCCGCTGCACAAACCGCCGGTCCACGTATTTGGCTTTGATGTAAGCTTCCACCTCGTGCCTGTGGAAAGTTACACGGGAGAAGGTTTAGAATAATAATAATGAAACCTTCGGGTAATCTATGTTCACACCTTGGGTCTCCTGGGTTCGGCTTTCTGGCTCCCAATTCCTCCCGTCGCGCCTCATAAATCTGGTTGATAACTTTATTACCGAGTTCACACATTAACTGTTAAAAGACAGAAAGAAAATACATATATGAAAGTGAAATTCTGAAAAATAAGAATCGTTCATTTATTTCTATAATTCAACTTAGAACGAGAAACACAACATGATATAGACTCATAACATGCAAAGTGGCACATGTCAATACTTTGTAAAATTGATGATTATGGCTTCCAAATAGAGAGGTCTTTTGTGGGGTTTTTACAGGCTATGAGCGAATTATCCACATTACAACAAGTAAAGATTGATATACAGTTGAACCTTTCAACATTTCGCCACATTTCAGGCTTCAAACATAAAGATATACATTTTTTATTTTTTGTCAAGAATCAACAACAAGTGGGACACAATCGTGAAGTGGAACGAAATGTATTGAATAATTTAAACTTTTTTAACAAATAAAAAACTGAAAAGTGGGGCATGCAATATTATTCGGCCCCCTTGCGCTAATACTTTGTAGCGCCACCTTTTGCTGCAATTACAGCTGCAAGTCGCTTGGGGTATGTCTCTATCAGTTTTGCACATCGAGAGACTGTAATTCTTTCCCATTCTTCCTTGCAAAACAGCTCGAGCTCAGTGAGGTTGGACGGAGAGCGTTTGTGAACAGCAGTCTTCAGCTCTTTCCACAGATTCTCGATTGGATTCAGGTCTGGACTTTGACTTGGCCATTCTAACACCTGGATACGTCTATTTGTGAACCATTCCATTGTAGATTTGGCTTTATGTTTTGGATCATTGTCCTGTTGGAAGATAAATCTCCGTCCCAGTCTCAGGTCTTTTCAGATTCAGATTCAGATTCATTTATTTGCCATTTGCAGTAAAACCACATAGGAAAAACTGTGCAAGAGTACCCCAGTGTGCACCAGACGACACACACCAGAGCTCTTTTTGGAGTTTTGCAGACTCCAACAGGTTTTTTTCCTGAATGGTCCTGTATTTGGCTCCATCCATCTTCCCATCAATTTTAGCCATCTTCCCTGTCCCTGCTGAAGAAAAGCAGGCCCAAAGCATGATACTGCCACCACCATGTTTGACAGTGGGGATGGTGTGTTCAGGGTGATGAGCTGTGTTGCTTTTATGCCAAACATATCATTTTGCATTGTGGCCAAAAAGTTCAATTTTGGTTTCATCTGACCAGAGCACCTTCTTCCACATGTTTGGTGTGTCTCCCAGGTGGCTTGTGGCAAACTTTAAACGAGACTTTTTATGGATATCTTTGAGAAATGCCTTTCTTCTTGCCACTCTTCCATAAAGGCCAGATTTGTGCAGTGCACGACTGATTGTTGTCCTATGGACAGACTCTCCCACCTCAGCTGTAGTTATCTGCAGTTCATCCAGAGTGATCATGGGCTTCTTGGCTGCATCTCTGATCAGTCTTCTTCTTGTTTGAGATGAAAGTTTGGAGGGACAGCTGGGTCTTGGTAGATTTGCAGTGGTCTGATACTCCTTTCATTTCAATATAATTGCTTGCACAGTGCTCCTTGAGATGTTTAAAGCTTGGGAAATCTTTTTGTATCCAAATCCGGCTTTAAACTTCTCCACAACAGTATCTCGGACCTGCCTGGTGTGTTCCTTTGTCTTCATGGTTCTCTCTGCGCTTTAAACAGAACCCTGAGACTATCAAAGAGCAGGTGCATTTATACGGAGACTTGATTACACACAGGTGCATTCTATTTATCATCATCAGTCATTTAGGACAACATTGGATCATTCAAAGATCCTCACTGAACTTCTGGAGTGAGTTTGCTGCACTGAAAGTAAAGGGGCCGAATAATATTGCACGCCCCACTTTTCAGTTTTTATTTGTTAAAAAAGTTTAAATTATCCAATACATTTCGTTCCACTTCACGATTGTGTCCCACTTGTTGTTGATTCATGACAAAAGATTAAAATTCTATATCTTTATGTTTGAAGCCTGAAATGTGGCGAAATGTTGAAAGGTTCAAGGGGGCCGAATACTTTCGCAAGGCACTGTACATATCCTTTTGCATGTAATGAGTTGAGAGTTGAGACTTTTGAATGATATTCCAAAGTTCTGAGTTTCACGTATTGCATTCTATTGTCTTCAAGAAACGTTTTTACTTCATTATAATCATTGTCATTGTTATGTTATTTTTTACCTTTAGAAGTTCTGGCTCCCATGTATCCAAAGTTAGAGATCGCACTTTGGAGAAATGCACTCCAAGACTCCTGAATTTGTTGAAAAAAAGACAAAGAGAGAAGTCTATTTTAGGTGGCAGCTCTCACTGATCAATCTGATCCTGAAGATGTAAGTTTAATCGTATCAAAGGTGGCTAAAGTCTGACCTGTGGATGCCGGAGCACTGGATACAGAGCGTGATGCCCAGGTTGATGCTGGCCCAGCGGGGGTCTGGCTGTCCACAGTCACAGCAGCAGGAGTTCCCTGGGATCACCAATACTCTCTGAAGAGCCGTCTCCCCTTTTAAAGAGCGCTCCTTTGTCTCACCGCCGGAGTCCAGGCTACCAGTGGATGTGGATGACTTCCTGTCTAGTTTCTGATACAGACATATGTGATAAGGGCCGGTTAAATAAAAACCAATACATCAGAAACTTCAGTGGTTCAGGCTGCTTGAAGACGATACATAAAACTGTTTTATGGATCGTCTTTTAAGGAAATTCCGGGAATCGTAACCAACTTTGATCAGCTACATCAGTGGTTTCCAAACTTCAATATTTGACATCTTCCAAACCAGATGCAAAACAAGATTTTCTGGGTCGGTCTAAATACAGACCTAACTAGGTCCTACAAAGTATTACAATAATTCCATTACAGTGTTTCTCCAAGTAGTGTCTGGAGCCCCCTACGGGTCCTTTCAGGCACCTCAGAGGGGCCCCTAAAGGTTGCCAGCATCACAAGAAAGTGAGAAAAAAAGGTTGAATTATTACATGAATTCCACTTTTTACAATTCTTATTAACTTAGTATTTTTTATTTCTACAAAAACATCAAATAAAAAACTCTTGGAACTTATGGTAATGTTATATCTTTAAAAAAAAAAATCTGATAAAAATGTGGCCCTGAGTGATTCTGGACGAATAAGTGCTCAGTTTGTTCATGGCACAGCGTGATGTAGGTCAATACTCCAAACGTCAGTACATACATTAGCCCGTACCTCAGCATCTTCTCCCTTGTCCCGGAAGGCTGTGGCAATGCTGTTCTGGACGGCTTTGATCCAGGCTTGTCTTAGTTTTTCAGAATCGGCTTGCATCATACAACTCCTGCACCAATAAGTGAATGATTCAGTGACATATTAAAATGATAAATTAATATATATAAACCACATTTATTGATCAGTTCCAAACTTACTTTGTGGGTGACACAACTTCAAAGCAAAATCGGCGCTCAATATCCTCACAGTGTTTGACCGTGCAGAGCCGTAAGTCCTCCACCACCACTGTAGGGTTGTCCTATGGGGAAAAACACGGTTATAGTACAACACACGATACTGTCACATCCATTTTCATACCTTAAATTTCTTCTGGTAAACAAGCTGATTGTTCTGTATTGAGAACCAACGCCTGAAAGAAGGTCACACGTTAGTGAAAAGTTCACATGCATTTGCCTGCAGTTGTAATACAAATAATTGGCTTAGATGTTCAAAGTTGGAAAGACATTGACAAACACTTAAACACACACTAAACACACTATCAAATGCATGATATCATACTCACTATTACCTAAAGCACAATGATCTCCTTTCTGCAGCGGTTCATACAAATGTATATGGCTCACTCCACACTAAACTGTATCAATGTGTTACATTTTGGTCAATGACACAAAAAAGTCCCGAAATGTCCGCGGCCGTTACCGCTGAATGTTCATTGACCCACTCTTGTTTTGTCTCCAGCTTAATTCTCCAGTGAAGGGGGCACTACTTAAACACTGATTTGTTCATGCCCATATTATTAACAGCGGTCCAAGACAGCCGTTTTGGACGTAACAAAAGTTATTGAATAATATGTTTTTTGCATAATGAAAAATCTATAAATACATATTGATTATAGTTATATCTCCAACCATTAACCATTAAATAGTCTTCTCTGTCCTGTTCATTCTTCCATTCTCAAAGCCTCCAACATGACAGGTCCTAAATGTAACTATTATGTCCCCAAAGTTCAATACATTTTTTATGAAAGGCATACAATAGTTTAAGCCGCCCTTCTAAGATTATACTATGTATATGTATATAGGCTACATACAGTGCCTTGCGAAAGTATTCGGCCCCCTTCAACCTTTCAACATTTCGCCACATTTCAGGCGTCAAACATAAAGATATAAAATTTAATTTTTTTGTCATGAATCAACAACAAGTGGGACACAATCGTGAAGTGGAACGAAATTTATTGGATAATTTAAACTTTTTTAACAAATAAAAAACTGAAAAGTGGGGCGTGCAATATTATTCGGCCCCTTTACTTTCAGTGCAGCAAACTCACTCCAGAAGTTCAGTGAGGATCTTTGAATGATCCAATGTTGTCCTAAATGACTGATGATGATAAATAGAATGCACCTGTGTGTAATCAAGTCTCCGTATAAATGCACCTGCTCTTTGATAGTCTCAGGGTTCTGTTTAAAGCGCAGAGAGAACCATGAAGACAAAGGAACACACCAGGCAGGTCCGAGATACTGTTGTTGAGAAGTTTAAAGCCGGATTTGGATACAAAAAGATTTCCCAAGCTTTAAACATCTCAAGGAGCACTGTGCAAGCAATTATATTGAAATGGAAGGAGTATCAGACCACTGCAAATCTACCAAGACCCGGCCGTTCCTCCAAACTTTCATCTCAAACAAGGAGAAGACTGATCAGAGATGCAGCCAAGAGGCCCATGATCACTCTGGATGAACTGCAGATGCTGATTCATGACTTTATGTTTGAAGCCTGAAATGTGGCGAAATGTTGATACTTTCGCAAGGCAATGTAGTATTAAAAATTTTTTAGGTACAAACATTTTTAGTACATACATTTATTTTATTGTCGCTTGAAGTTAGATCGAGCAATGGTACAGTTTAGTGTGGAGTGAGCCATATATAAATAAGAATTTCTTGCGAATAATTAAAAGGTTCATTGCTGACTGAATATTTATAATAATACAATGTTTTGGTAACACTGTGTACGTATTGTCAAAAGCTACCTGTTCCATGTTTTGAATGCGTTGCTTGCCCGTTTAAACAGGTACCCCTCCATTGCAATGCCGTTGTCTGCATCCACATTGTACTCCAGCTTTGTGTCATCATTCGAGAAATCCTGAACATAGACAAAATCATACCAGCGCATTAAAACATGTTAATGAAACATTAATGTGATCGTTTGTGGTGAGTAGTGATGGGAATCATCAGGTAAATGTCAAAACAACAACAAACAGCCCAAGGGTCTCCATTAGTGTTTTAAATGTTAATAAGAACTCCAAATGAGACAAATGGTGCACACACCGAGCTAGTTTAGTCAGACATTTAATGCATCCATTTTTTAATCAACGTGTTTCCGTCATGTGATCCTGTGCGTTGCCATGGGACAGTCCCAGCGTTAACTACACGTTTCAAACACGCTTCAGGCCTCGTGGTCCATCAGCTGACACTCAACACCAGGCGTGAGAGTTACATTTCACCCAAGGCTCAACGCAAACGACAACAAGACATTGCTCTCTGTTACAAAAAGCAATGAAACAGCCTCTGTCTCTTTTCAAAACAACCATCAACTTTAAATAAACGTAATAAACACCAAAATTACAATAAAATGTCATGCTTATAGTACACATTAAACATGATAAAAGAACAGACAGAACGATAAAAACGCACATCCTCAAAACCTTGAAGAATGTTGCAGAATGTTCTGTTGTAACAGAAACCTGGATGTCAGTAGAGGACCTTAGTCTATGGCGTAAACACTTAAACATGTATTTAGTTGGTGGTTTGTTCTGAGACTTAGAGAGATCTCAAATGTTGTCGCATCTACCAATCACAGGCAGCAGACCAACACTGAAAATCAATGACAACACAATGATGCAGTCCGAGCAACACACACTCCGAACACTGTCACATGTGGTTGTGTTATCAACAGCCACCGCAATGCAGACATGTGCACAAGGGTCAGAGATAAAAGAGGAAGTGAGATGAAGAATGACGAGGACACGCTACGTACGGAGGATGACCTCCAAGCGCAAAAGTTGCGATAGTCAGGTAAAGACTCCTCCTAGAATGTTACACACAAACAGACAAGGTGGATAACCTGTAAATGTATGAGGGTGTGACAATAGAAAAGATCCTGGAGGAACAGACTGTTAGTTTCTAAAAATAGCCATGCATAAAACACACACCGTTAGCACTCACCAGATACCAGACATAGTGAAAACGGCTGAATATCTTCATTTTAACCCTCCGAACAGTCAGTGTATAGAGTGTTTCCTAAAGTCTTTGTGTGTAGCATCTTTGTGACCGTCTGAGTCTAGGACGGGCCACCTGTCTAAAGCTCACCTCCTCCTCTCTGTGTTTGTGTGTACACATAACTCCGCCCCGAGTCTCACGCTACCTGAAGGTCAGCTGTCTGTGATGCTGCTCTGTCTGTGCACATGCAAGTAAATGAAGTGATTTAATGAGTAGGTGAAAACACATTATTGAACAAATATTATAGGCGTGATATTACATTCAACCACACTATTGTAAACACTCCCTACAGTCTACCAATCATGTCATATCTTTAAAGAAAACTAGAGGGAAATGGCCACTGTCCTGCTTCTATAGGAGAAGGACTGCAGTTTAATGATCCATGAACACCTCAGACGCTTACTAACCATGACCTCAAGGGCTAGTCCTAGGGCTAGAGAGTTGCTTTATTGAAAGTGAAAGTGAAAAAGGCTAAATGGACCCACAAAGTCAGCAATCATAACACTATCCTGAAAAGCACGTTTACATGCTTGGCCTTGTTTTCCTAGTAGGATCATCATCATCAACAGAGACAACTATGCATGATTAAGTTATGTATAAACAAATCTCTTCATAATTCCATTGCCTACACCATTGTAAGTCTCAACGCTTCCATTTAGTAGAAGTATGAGAGGACAAAGACTCACCTGTAAAGCAGCCTGGAGCAAGCAAAAAGAGAAAGAGAAAAGTGAAAAATGACAGACAGTTTGTTAGGACAGTTTGTGTACTGAAGACAAAGCTACCAGGATGAAGAAAGTATAAAAATAGAATCTGGAGAGCAGTGGAAGGACAACTGGAAGTTAGCACATAAACTGTCCGAGATGGAGATAAATCTAATAGCAGTATATTTATAGAACTGCAAAGTACTGTTCGGTCCAGTTTTGACAATACATATGATTATCTTCATGATGTGTTTTATGCATTTCATTACATCCTATAAGATCTGAGCTGGTGTACTTGGCTGTGCACTGAAAGTAGAGCTTGTTTGTTTGGAAACCTGTTTGTGGGAGTAGTGAATTATGCACAAGTGTGTGGCTGAGGTCATCTGTACTGGTTACATTACTTCAGGGGCGGAGCTTTGTGTCCATTCACTTCTAGAAAACAAACTGCTCTCTAAACCAGAGGAACAATTATTATTAACAAAAAGACCACCTTAGGCTCTCGGTCTAGTATTAGGCTGCAAATTAGACCCTTACTATTCCTTTGATTTTTTTTCAACATTAATATTAGTGGTTGACTAATTACTATAAGTTTGTGGGTTTTAATCATGGATGTATTATATTAGGTTTTACAGTTTGTTCATGGAAACTTGATTGTTTTAGGATAATTTTAGCATAACATTGCATTTTTGTTAGACATACAGTGGGACAAAAAAGTGTTTAATCCGTCACCAACTGTGCAAGTTCTCCCACTTAAAAAGATGAGGTAGGCCTGTAATTTTCATCATAGGTAAAGGTACAATACAATACAATACGATTAATTCTTGTATAGCCCTAACAGTAGTAGTAAACAGTAGTCATCTCAGGGGACTCAGGGGATCTCAAAAACATTGAAATCACCGACATAGATCAGAGAACTGTCAAGACACCAAAAAGAAAGGTAAAGAACCCAAAGTATGATGTTTCCACTCCCAAGCTTCCCAGGAGGTAGGGTGTACTTTTGGATGCAACTCTCCTCCAAACACAGCGAGTTGAGTATTTACCAAAAGGTTCTATTTTGGTTTCATCTGATCATATGACATTCTCCCAATCCTCTTCTAGATCATCTAAATGCTCTCTAGCAAACTTCAGACGGGCCTGGATATGTACTTGCTTAAGCAGGGGACACTTCTGGCACTGCAGGATTTCAGTCTCTGGTGGCGTAGTGTGATACTGTTGTTCGCCTTTGTTACTTGGGTCCCAGCTCTCTGCAGGTCATTCACTAGGTCCCCGAGATTTCTGGGATTTTTGCTCACTGTTCTTGTGATCATTTTGACCCCACAAGGTGAGATCTTGCATGGAGCCCCAGATTGAGGGAGCTCCCACAATTGATTTCTTCACACCAAGCTGCTTACCTATTACAGATTCTTCCCAGCCTGGTGCAGGTCTACAATTTTGTTTCTGGTGTCCTTTGATAGATTTTTGGCCATAGTGAAGTTTGGAGTGTGACTGTTTGAGGTTGTGAACAGATGTCTTTCAGACTGATAATGAGTTAAAATAGATGCCATTAATACAGGTAACGAGTGGAGGACAGAGGAGCCTCTTAAAGAAGGAGTTACAGGTTTGTGAGAGCCACAAATTTTGCTTGTTTGTACTTATTTTCGTACAGACGCTTAGACAGTAGCTCAGTTGGTAGAGCATTGGCCTTTGGGCCTGAAGGTCGTGGGTTCGAGCCCACCGTAAGACCTACTTCACGACTCCCACTGATGACTGCTGTATTTGTGTCCTTGGGCAAGACACTTAACCCTACTTTGCCCAAAGCCCCAACTGAAAGATCTCAGCTCCTGTGGACTCACCACCTGCAGGAGGATCAGTGAGGGGCTGGTGCTCTGTGTACTGGGTGCAGCTCTGACTGCCACCCCCCCAACCCAGAAATGCATTAAGCGGAAGAAAATGAATGGATGGATGGATGTACTTATTTTCCACCATAATTTGCAAGTACATTCTTTAAAAATCAGACAATGTGAATTTCTGGATTTTTTTCTCTTTCTGTCTCTCATAGTTGAGGTTTACCTATGATGACAATCACAAACCTACCTCATATTTTAAAGTGGGAGAACTTGCACAATTGGTGGCTGACTAAATACTTTTTTGCCCCACAGTAGCCTTTCTCCTAACATAAACATTTACCTTCTGTTGGATGGTGGAGTGCTTTTGCTCCATGTCCCGCTTCTCTTTGGCAGCGTCCACCACCAGCTGGTCCAACTGCAGGAGATGGCACGGATTAATCAAGATTGTTAACCACTCTTTCACAGTTTTTCACACTTTCATATCATCTTTCCCAACAGGGCCCAATTAGGCCCTGTTGGGACAAGGAAGAGCCATTTATTTCCAGGAAGCCTACATCTCGAGTCTTGTGTCAAACATCAGTGTAATTTTAATAGGTCATGAACTGTGGTTGAGGGCATGTGAACAGGCAATCTTTGGATGGTTTGTTGGATAGAGGCATTTTCCAAATTCAAATGAGTTTAGATGCCAAAATAAGCTCAAATGAATGACGTCAAGTTTTTGATCCCGTCATCACAAACAGGTTAATTAATACTAAGTCACCATTCTTGACAATAAGTATACTTTGTACTTTTGAAATATAACAACCTGCTGAATTTCAATATGACAAACACTGTCAAATCAACCAAATGAAGAAAACAAACTAATGACGCTAGTAAACCAGTAGAGCGAGTCTATGACAATGTTCACCTCATTTCAAGGAATATATCTTAGCAAGAAATACTAACGCAAGTAATTATCAAACCTGTTGACAACTGCTCCACACTTCCCTGCACAGCTGCTCCCCTTTCTTTAGCTTCATGGTGAAAATGTAAATATTACACAGAGATTTTATACAATTTCTCAGTGTTTGATTATCTTTTATCTTTTCACAGTTGTAAGTATTCCATTTCAGTTTGCATGACACTTGGTTTTAGTTGGTTTTCCATCTTCCATCTCTTTCGCAGAGTAGCCTGAATGCTGCACTGCATAAGCCTCGAAACTATGCAATTGGCAAATCTATGGGTTGAACACTATGAAAACGTCATTTGAATGGGGAAAATTCTTAGTACATAAACCTGTGTAAAACATTTCAGAAACAAGAAAAAATAAAACTGTAAGAAATCTATTGAAAGTTGAATTTGGCCAGTCCAAAAAGTGAAAATGAAGTAATTTCCATTGGTTGGTTATCTCCGATATGCAATGCTGCTGCCTCAGAGTCACATCTCGATAATGAGCTGTGTTGAGTAAGAGCATTCTGCAAACTGTCTGTGGGAAAGCCCTCTGCGGCTCTCTACTCTTCCTCATTCCTGCACAGTTCAGCATACACCGACCATATTGTGATAATAATCTTAAAGCCACATTCGGGTCCCTCTGTTTATCAGAGGATGCAAACATTGGCCATGAGTAGAGACAAAAAAAACAAGAACAAAAGCAGTTCACATACAAGGGGAATGGCAACGTATTAAAACAAGAAGGAAAGACTCTCCAAATTATCAACCCTAAAACTATATGTAATGACATAATACATGCTTCAGTAAAATAGCGTAGTCCTAAAAACAATGACAGAATCTATTAAGTATCTAAATAGCCAACAGTCGCCTTTCAGTCCGATCAAACAATCTCAGTGTTTGCTTATAGTGGGCGTATTTAGATAGAATGTTCCAGGGACAGTAGCTCAGTTGGTAGAGCATCGGCCTTTGGGCCTGAAGGTCGTGGGTTTGAGCCCACCGTAAGACCTACTTCACGACTCCCACTGATGACTGCTGTCCTTGTGTCCTTGGGCAAGACACTTAACCCCACTTTGCCCAAAGCCCCAACTGAAAGATCTCAGCTCCTGTGGACTCACCACCTGCAGAAGGATCAGTGAGGGGCTGGTGCTCTGTGTACTGGGTGCAGCTCTGACTGCCGCCCTCCCGACCCAGAAATGGATTAAGGGGAAGAAAATGGATGGATGGATGGATGGATGGTTCCAGGGATATTGCAGGATGAGCACAGTGCTTATTTCTTCAGGGATCTTGAAATAAATGTTTAAAAGGGAAGTTTCAAACTAACACAAGTGCATTAACTGGATTGTCCACAATCACAAGCGTACACACTCCATCCATCCATCCATTTTCTTCCCCTTAATCCATTTCTGGGTCAGGGGGGTGGCAGTTAGAGATGCCACCCAGTACACATACCACCAGCCCCTCACTGATCCTTCTGCAGGTGGTGAGCCTTGATCTTTCAGCGTACACACTACATTATGTAAGTATCCCTTGACATACAGAAGAAACATTAACCAAATAAAAGTGGCACAATGCAAATGCAGGGTATTTTAGGACAGTAGATTTGCAGTCTGATATGTATTTCTCTATATGAAAAACTGTATTTCACATTTGAGTACAGACCCCGGGGAAGACCCAGGACAGGCTGGAGGGACAGAACGCCTTGGGGTCCCCCAGGATGAGATAGAGGAATTGTGTGTGGGGAGGAAAGTCTGGGCATCGCTGCTTAGACTGCTGCCCCGCGACCCGGCAACGGATGAAGCGGAAGAAAATGGATGGATGGATGGAGCACAGATGAGCCATATTTTGCAGAGCTTCTGAATTGTGAAATCCTATGAAGTCCTAGAACGAGTATCTGATAATACACATCAATCCAGCAACAGTAAAGAAAAGGCCTACGGGCCGTTTTTAGTGGCCCTTGAACTGATTTTCAGTTAAGATTCACTAAAATGTTAATATGGATTATTATACCTTTTTTCCCTTAAGAAAACAAAACATTTCATTTCATTTTATTATTTTAGCCTGTGTATTTAGATTAGTTAAATTAAGCTACAAATCATTGACATATCACTCTACAATTATACACCTTTAGTCCAGTAATTGAACTCATTTTGTTCGGAATAAATACCTGAAAACAATATTCAAACTCATGTCATATAAAGCAATTACTTTTCAAATAAGGCCGAACTAAAATTAGTTTGACACCCCTGGGGGCACGTCCATTATATGAACATGTGATGCCTGGGGGCCTCACTCTAGATACTGGTGTAATTAATAAACAGCACCTTCTTATACATGCATTTCTTTCACAACAGTGTCAAAATCCAAGAGGCAAAACAAAGGATACATACCTGTCCTCCGAGGTGTTTCATGAGGGGCTGCAGTTCACTGAAGAGGTCATAACCTTGATGGAAGAACGTCAGGTGTGCGTACATAAAGGATAGCATCTGTGCACAAAAGAAATTGGAGTTAAAGACAAAATATATTCAATTGGTCATAAGCCACAAAAACAAGACTCAAGTTACCGATTTAAGGATTTCTGATCTTCTTTTGGACTGCAGCACATTAATCTAAAATAAAATACAAACATTTAGACAACTACAAGAAATACACAAAATTAAAATGTATGCCAAGTGAATGATGTTCTGAGAATAATTAGATGACATTTCCTACATTCATCACCAGAGGGAGCTCTTTGTCAAATATTCTGTGGTTCAAACATGGATGTATTTATTATATTGGTTTCTAAGCATTCTGAGCCAGTTTCCCCTTTACACCACTTCAAATTGGGTTTACCATTTAATAAAGTACTAAAGACATTACAGAACGGGTATTACACAATATTAAACCATTTTCATTCTGATAAAATTCAGTACAATAGGTCAGCAGGCTACTAAAAGCATCTGAGGTATGCAAATTTAATTGCAAGTGGTTCAGATTTTCACATGGAAACTACTGTGGCCAATGTTTCATTACATTTTGGTGCAATTATGGTCATACACATGTTTTTCCTTTCCTAAATGTTATGAACTACCACGTTGTGGACAGTCTGTTTAATTACTAAAGACCTTTGTCTTACATTAAGTAAAATACAAAACAGTGTAAAACAGCTTTTCTCCAACTTGTGCTTAAGTAAAGTTAAGTAAATTATCAGAAACAGAGCAGATAATGTGGAGAAGAACTGAAAATCAAACTGCTGACAGAAACCTTTAAGACTGTTGAAAGGTGCTGTGCCAGCAGTAGAGCTTATAGATTTATTCTACAGAGGCAAAGAAAGAACTTGAGAGACATTTCTCACAGGTTATTTCTTTTTTATTGTATGTTCACGTAAGATCAATAAAGAGTGGCCAAACCATATTATCTAATTTATTGAATACCAAATGTGACACCTCAAACCAACATGACCAGTGTTTTGTCCACTCCAACATCAGAAGTTCAGCTAAGTACTACTTTAACTCTCAGACTCAGAACAGCTGTGGCTCTTCCGAGTCTTGCTGACGCAGTACTAACTCTGAGCATGAGTCAGCAGGTTATGGGCCAAGCTTTCATTGATAATGTCAAACAGAGATGTAGGACTCAAATAAATGTTGTACCTGTAGGACATAGTCCAGGACAATGTGCCTGAAGCACTTGCGTGTGGCAGTGAGGATGTTCGTGGCTTCCTCCACCTCATGCTGTTTATTACGAGGAGCCTGGGCATTCTTGATAAGCGCTGCCTCCTTCTCTTCGCTCACCTTGTCAAAATGCTTTTTGGCATCTTTGAATTTACGAATGTCACTGAAATAAATTATTGAAAGAATGTGGTTAGAACATGGCATTGCATTCACTGGTCTGCGATTTATTTTGTGATAATAAAGTATGTAGATGATTTAACTTTAATGGGTTCTATTGAAAAAAATATTTATTTTGCATAAAGAAACAATGGTTGTTTTATTAAAATAAGAGGAATAAAACAATAGTCTTTCAGTGATGTTGTGAGCTTAGTTGAAAAGAATTAATAAATGTGCTGGTGTTGTTTGTTGGTGCCAAAAGCCTAAGTCGTAATCTCTAATCAGATCACAGCAGGTGTCTTAAGATGTCTAGCTTTACACATTTGTTTACTCACTCTTTTACAAAGAGTTGAAGCTGAGTCTTGATTGATCTTTGAGCCTGATCAAATAATATCTGTAAAAACATAAAACATTCATCAGGTTATTATACGGTAATATTTAATTTATAACTCAATTGAAGTGCTTGTCTTTGAAAAAGACTTCAAGGGTCAGTACAAAGTGCAGTGATAAGACTCTACCACATCCACACTAAGGATTGTCTGGCAGTCAGCTGATGTGACCAGAGTTGAGTCATAAGTCTTGAGTCATCTCTATTGACCTGGACTATGACAGCTGAGCATATGATCTGTAAATTTCATTTCATTTCATTTTGATTAAGTTTACAAGATCATGTTTTCTGATTTGGGCCAATTGCCTCCATTATTGCTGAACACTACTTCAGAGCCTCAGTGTTACTGTGGATTCTGTGAAGTGAACATAGCCTTTGGGAAAGTCTTTGATGATATGAAAGGATAAAGGATGTTAGTGCTGTGCAAGCGTCAAGTGACTGACGACTAAGCTACGTACAAAAGCCTGAGACCAAGACAAATGATACAGCAGAATAATATTACATGTGCGCAGTGAAGGGCAGGACTTTCCATCTAAATCTAATAAATGCTGCACTGCCCCTTAGTGTAAAGCACAGAAATTAATCTGTCTACTGACTATACAGTATTATACTCTACAGTCTATATATTGAAAACAAACATATAGGCCCAAGAAAGGGTTTTATACCGTGTGATAGTTGATCATCTCTTGAAGGCTCTCTGCAAACTTTGTGAGGCTGGACTATAGAGAGAAAATACATACAGCAATTGGTCATCTTCACAATTGATTATTGAACCCCTATCCAAAGGAAATAGATTTTCTATCCACATTTGACACAGAAAGTATGAAGTTGAGCCGCCGGAGGACATTGGAATAAGATATTTAAGCATTTCTTTTTTTGTTTGCCTAACTTGAGTCTTTAAGCACATATAGAACAGTTAATAACTACAGTTGATGCTCACTGAAAAAATTCAAAGTTCAGAATTATTAATAATCTGTAATCGGATTTGCCGTTATCATTACAGCTCTAAACAACAGTCAAGTCAATTTTTTTGTTCAACACCAACGGGATAAAGACACAATAAACATGAGGTCAAAATGTATTAAAGAAATAATAAGGAGACAGAAGTAACAATAACAAAACAATACATTTGCAGATGAAGTGTGTTTCTGCATGTACGGTTCATTTTGTAACCATCAGACAAAGAGCCAAATTGGATCCGCGACACACGTCTCCTATTCGTGTTGTTTACCTCAATGACCTCATCTTTAGTGGACTGCTGAGCAAGTTCCCGGATCCCATTAACAAACTGCTTGTTTGCTGCGTTGTAGGCTTTCCCAGCATCGATCATCCCAATACATAACTTCACCAACTAGAAAAGAAAAAGCAAACCGTTATTTACAAGCAGGCAGTAAACAGCTTAAATAAATAGCTTCTAACTCAACTGTATAAGATTATAAATTAGTTATGCAGGTTATAAAGGTCTTGTTTGTTTTTTGTAATTATGCTCCGTTTGGTCATCAGATCATGATCTCTTTCATTCATTCTTTCATTTGCTTCTTATACATATGATCAATAGCCGACAACGGTATCATATTGTAAACATTTTTTTTTTTTTTTATTAAATTGTTAAGACATGAGTTTATCGGCTCGAGATTTCTTTTTATCCACATACATGGGTTCATCTATTCTCCTGCTTTAGATTGTAAAACTCTACGCTATGTAAACTTGGCCTTTGTGAGAGCTCCGCCCAGACATTATCACAGCCATATTTGAGCAGACACAGTCCACCCACTCCACAGATCCTTCCTCTGGTGTGAAGGGAAGTGAAGCTGGAGTGAGTCACGGAGGTGGGGCTGTGTAACACTGAAAGTCCACCAGACCATTGGAACAAAAGGTTCTCACTACAGTCATGTTGCTTGATAAGTCTTTCTGCAGGTATCAAACATGGTAGAGTGCAGGTGAAACTTTATTACATAATCACATACATGCATCCCTACATCCCTTAAGCTTTCCAATTAGGACTCTAAGTGAAATCGTTTAGTCACAAGGATTATTTCAATAGTGGTCAACTAATTTAGTATTCGATTAATTGATAGCATTTTAGGTCTATGTAAGGTTCAGTTACGAAGAGGTTTTATGATAATTTTTACGAAGAGGTTTTATGAAAATTATAATTATGCATTGGTTTTATACAGCGCTTTTCAGGACACTCAAAGACGATTCACATATTCTTTTACTCCATACACAGTGGTGATAAACTACTACTGTTGCCACAGCTGCCCTGGGGCACACTGACAACCAGTATGTGCCATCGGCCTTTCCGACCACCACCAGCAATCCACACACACACAAACACCAGACTCATTCTAGGCAATGTGGGTGAATTGTTAACTAAATAACTAAATAAACAACAACAAAAAATAAGAAAAACAAACCAAAATAAAAACATAGAGACCAAACACACACAAGTCCCCGAGGCCTTCATCCACTTATCCATTCTCTCATTTCCCATTTTCTATGCGACATCAGTCCCATTTCAACATCTTCCATTTTTTTTCGTGCACAATTATCCTTTTTGTGTTTGAAGCTATTATTTTTTCCATTTCATATTGTTGTTTCAGTTTATTTTTAAAGTTATTCAAACAGAGTTCTGTATTGGTTTTACATTTAAAGATAACAATTTTACCCATCAGGATGATTACATTCTCTACATTCATTGAGTTGCTGTCCAAGATTCCCAACATTATATTCATGGGATTGATGTCAATCTCGATCCCTAATCCACACAACCATCTTTGGACCATCGTCCAGAATAATGAAACATATGGGCAAAAATAATAAGTAAATAATAAATAATAATAAATAATAATAAGAATTGTCTTGCCAAAGAACGCAACGACAATTTGGCACTCTACAGCCGCAGCCGCCCCATGGTCTCCCATCACAGTACTAACAGGGCTCTAATCCAAGATAACTTACAAAAGCTGTCCTATTACATTTTTTTATTTTATTTATATAATTGTCTTTATTTTCAGTATTTCAAGGTCTGACAACTCATGGCAGATGGCAATGACAGTTCAAAACAAGAAGAAAAAAAAATACAAACGAACAAATAAAAAAATAAAAAGATGCCCCAGCTGCAGCCAAAAATAAATAAATTATATATATATATATATATATATATACACATATACACACATACACATACATATATACATACATATATATATATTACATTCATATATATATATATATATATTACATTATCATAGAACTACTATTAATCCTAAAAGTAACGGCAAATCATTGTACGAGTAAAAGAATAAAAACTGACATTAGTAAGCAATAATGCTCCCAATTATGTGATAGATATTCTATACCTCTTCCACCTTACTGCTCTTTTTGAGTTTTTCTCACCCATTAATGGGACACAAACACATCCACCGCTTGTATTGGTCAGCCTCAGTAATGCATGAGGGCTGTAACTAAACCAAGGAAGAGTGGACTCACAGAACTTATCATGTCTACCTAAATAAAAACTTGGATAACTAGCTAGTTTCCATCGGTTGCTTCAAGGTTTAAATCACAGGTCACAGTTAGTATCATTATGAATGCATGGGGTGGTTTAACAACTGAACAATCAAGTATAATTTTTGTTGATGGGTGAAACTCACTTTGTCCAGCTTAGATTCCAACTCGCACACATCCCCCTCTACTTCCTCTATGGTGGCTCTGTGGAGGCAAAAGAAAAGCCTGTTAAATTCATCATTCAATATACTGCGGTATGAAGCAAATCAAGACAAAACACTAATTTTAACCTAGTGGTGTTGATAAAAAGACTTGTTTGGGCCCATACAACAAGCTGAGGAAAGACGGCCAAATGGAAGGCTGTCATTTTGGGTAAAGCTGTGGGGCTGAAATGAGAACTGGCACAGAGCCCTTTGAGTCATGACGAAGCAGAGCCAGATCTTCCACAGCCCGGCTTACGACAAGAGCGATACATGCACCCACTGTCCCCTCGAGCTTCATCTTCATCACAAGGGCTGCACAATATAATCATCTGCCACTCTCTTGACTCTCTTGATACTTTGAATGAAAAGCACAACACACAATATGGCGGGGGAAGTATGTTACAGCACTTAAGTTGTTTTTTTTGGAAAATATTACACTACATCGAGATGATGGTGAAATTTAAATACAGAGAATGCTGTATCTCTTCTTATTGCTCTGCAGATTCACACATACAATCCAATTACAATCCATGCATGTTATAGGTAATGGATGTTGCAGACTTTTACAGATCATAAGCACAAGTTCACAATGCCATTGTGTGAATCTATTTACTGCATAGAGTCCCATCTACATTATACATCATATTTATATAAATAATATTCTACTGTAGATTATGAAATTATTTACTTGCAATTTTAATGATACAAAGTAACAACGTTACTTTAAATATATATGATGACATACATGATCATTCATGAAAGAAAGAGAAAATAAAACCAGCCCTTCAAATTTCAGAATCTTCACCAAAAAAAATTATGCTTAGCACACTCATCAAAACTAATATACCAGAATATGGTATGAAATTTGAAAGCACCAGTCAAGTTTGTCATCCTAACTAGAGTAAAAATAATGTGGGCACATTCAGAGAGCAGTGATTGTTGGTGCATATGCCACAGTGCTGCATCAGGGGACGGACACCAGCCGAGCCCCTCCAGATGTTCATCACAGCTGCCAACATCTGCCACACTGATAATAATACACTCCTCTCAGAGCAAATACACAGACTCAAGTGAGCCAAAGACAAGGAAAAGGTTGATAGATCTCATCCCAAAACACGATGCCACTGGAGTGCAAACACAACAACATAAGTATTGAACACCCATGCCCATTGGAAAAGAGAGTGTTGGCAAGTTATGTTTTGAGAGGCAATTTAAATTACATTTTAAAAGAAAGTCAACTGTGAAGCCAATTTGTTGGCAGGAAACGTGACCTAGGACTAGACCATTGTGAGACAGGTTAGTTTTACCCTACTGGTGTGTTTTTTCAATAGTAATGCTGCCCTAAGGATTTATTGGGTTGTGAAGCCAATTTTTTGGCTAATAGTTTGGCTTCACAGTTGAATGACCCCAATAATATTTGTTAATATTAATATTGGGGTAAATATTATATTATGCTTTATGTATATGATATTTGCATATCAAAATACATTTCATATCCAAATATCAAATGTATTTGTTCCAATCATAAATGTTAACCATAGAAAAATGAAACAAACAAAACCAAACAACGACTTAAAATCAGTTGTTCAAGAATTGGGCTAGGAGACGAAAGGCAGCACTCAAGCGCTGACAAGTGAGAAACACCATTAGTCAGCAAAATTACTATAAGGAACAGAAGGCCAAACCAAAGTGCTGATTTCACCAAAGCTGCAATTAGTCTAATTTGAGGAAGTATGCATACTGCTTGTGCTTTGTATGACTGCACTGAGCCTGACCAAAGAGCCACAGTGGAGAGAATACAGGCATTTGGTTTATTTAGTATCCTGCACACAAAACAATGAAATCAATTAGACAATAAATGAGGGCATGGCAGAGGTAAAAAGCAATAAAGAAGAGCAGGCTACAGTTTTTAATTAGAGGAATGTTTTTTTTGTCTCAGAAGGGTCAGTTTGTTGCCCTGAAATGAATAGGCAGTTACTGCATTCACTGAAAAAGAAGCTGTTTAAAAACATGATTAAAAGCAATATACTTTCTCCTTTTATGATATTACATTTTTTGGAAATGACACGTTAACTGCACAATTGAATGAAAATAGAAAGTTACATTCTCCATGGATATACAGCAATAAACAGAACAACACTGACGCAAATGAATGATCTGCTTTGGCTTTACAAGTGAGGGAGGATCTGGATTGGATACTGCCCAATTATAGTTGAACATGAGGGGGACAATAGAGTGTACAGATATGTAAAGCAGCAATACCCAACATTATTTTGATCAAAACAGCATTACGCACACGTGCATAATGCATAACTTTCTTTACACTGGAGAATGTTGCCTCATGTGGAACTCGTTGATGAACAATCAAAAATGGGAAAGTCCAACTTTAATGTCCAAGTTTCAAACAAACTTATTCAGGTGAGACAAGCATGAAACAAGCATGAAATGATATGCAAAACACACAGGATTCCCCACAAAACAATCTGCAAAATGCCGCTTATCAACAAGCCTATGATTTTAAATGTTCTATTTTCTTACTGCAGAGGTGTAGTGTATAGTTTCTGTGGGTTTGCTGCTGAGTAGATCAGGCGGCTCGTTGCTATTTCTTGTTGATAAACTTATATTGATGGGCTGTTGTTCTCAAACTTTCTTTCTTTAATTCTTTCCTTGCAGCCCGGTACCGAGTGACCTGGCCTGGTGAGGGTGAGTGGAGCACCGACATACAGGACGTAAACAAGCCCTGTTTATGCTACTCAGTACAAGTTAAATTGTATTAAAATTTTTGCCAATGTTTTTATATGCTTTTAATACATTGGTGTGGAACTGAGCAATCAGAGCATTTCCGTTTTATCTGTGGCGGTGTGAAGTTGTGAAAGTGCTTACTACTCTACAAAAAGAAAGGGCCCCAAGTCCCAGGCAGCTCTGACCTTGGACAGCGTCCAGTCACAAAACAAATAATGAGCAGATAAACTGAAAACAATCCTTCCATTATTTATTGTAGTAGTGGAGAGGTTTAGATGTGTCAATATCTTCAGACAATACTGGGATTGTCTTCAAATGGAAAGACCATTACATTTGAGCAGTAACATTTATCACCTTTTGTATCAAAGCAGAAATGCAAACACTTCATACAATTTCTTTAATTGCAGTGATGTTGACACAAACAGGAAGATAAAAAAGCCTAATGCTTCTCCTTAAAGGACAACTCACCCTCAAATCCACTTTTTTTTGCTGATAAACGGTATAAATGAGTGTCCAATAGTGTTGTCTACATATCCTGGTCATAATCTTCTCACTTTGGTGCAAATTAGTTGAAAGTTAGACTTTCTGCCTAAAACCGTCTGTGAGGCGCCATCTGCTGGCGACCTGTATTACTACATTTGAATTTTGAATCTGGCGCCAACACTGGCACAGAAGTTGGACCTGACGTCTGCAAGTTGGACCTGACGTCAGCAGCCCCCCGCCCAGAGCAATATAAACGGCCCAGTCTCGTTCACGCCCCCTTTAGTCCTCCAGGCTACGCCCATTTAGAGGAAGATTTGAACAGGAAATTTGAGTAACGTAAGCTCCAAGGAGCGGGGGTGAGAACCACTTTAATGTTCCATTGGACCAATCCTAGCCCTTGCAGACTGTTTTTTCTTCTTGTGCAGATGGAGGCTAAGGGGCTACGTATGAATGTACATGTGTAAATGTACATACTCTTATGTATGTATATGTACGTTAAATATACGTTTTGAAAATTTGTTTCTTTCAAAATATGCGATTTTAGTCATAATTGACAAAAACGTCATCAGCTGAAGCCGGGGTTTCCCTCCACAACATTGGCAACCAGGGAAAGATAAAAAGGAAATGGCAGCACTAAACGGGAGAATACAAACGAGTGAATGACCGGCATGTTTGGGTGTGAGGCTTAAGTCTGAGCTAAATAAAGAGCACTAGGGCAGGACGGTCTGTAAGGCCTGAAGGAGTCTGCCTACAACCACATCAGTAAAAAGAGGCCAATTCAGCAAAGCTCAGGAAATGTTTTTCTGCTATTCTTTCTTCACAAAGTCAGTCCACTTAAAAGAGTGACCAAGCAATTGACCAGGCTTTGTGTGAAATAAATTAAATAAAAACAGACACAATTCACCAAAGATACAAGGGATATAAAGCTTGGGATACTCTGGAATATTGCAAAGAACTACTAAAAGGCCAGTATGGAAACATGATGCCCACACTGGTTTACTTACCAAGGCAAGGGGCCTAAACTACTAAATGTTTTAAAGTAAAGATATTATGACTACATCAGTTTTGATAATTTTGTTTTAAAGGGAAATTGGCTCTCTTTATGACAATGTTTTCAAAGCCAAACTGAATCAAAATACACTTAACAGACTAAGATCACCTTTATTTGTCCCATATTGGAGATTTTTCAATGTTGCAACAAGGAATATAGGACATACTGTAAATTGAACCCCAGGGCGTAAACTACAACTAGAAGCCAAATACATGAGTAATTGCTTTTCTTTTATTCCTGTAATAAATTCTATTCTATTGTATGATTAAAATCATTCAAATTCTAAATTAGAAATGGCTTCTAGTAGTGTTTCTATCCACACAGGATCTTTCATCAGGCAGAATAATACCTAATTTAAGAGACTGGACTGGTTGCCTGGGTGATCCTAGTAAAATGTTGCTGTTGTTTCTTTGAGAAAACCGCCACATCTTTACACTGCCAACTAAGCAACAACATGTCACTACCCCCTGTTGTTTAATGAGCAATATTTTTTCTAAAAACAGAGGCCCCTGCATTTAGTCCGTAGAAGTGATTCACTGAGTGCAATTCAACATAAAAGAGGCAGCCGCAGCACCAAACTTTTGGCACAACTCCAGACTGGTGCTCCAGGCACTATAACAGGTTCCGTTTCGACAATAGGGTCAAAAATACAGACGAAAGGCACACTCCCGGGACAGTGCATTTTACATACATCACTCACTCCTTTATTGTCCATTTTGTTTTGTATGAGACAACAATCTCAATACTTTGACTTTCAATGTGAGCTGAAACACAATATTGGGGATGTTCTAAAATCAATTTTCAGATGGTTTGTCTGCAGTCTGCAGATATTTATTTTGTGACCCACACAAAAAGAACCACACCTTTTAAATTTCCATAACCATTGAACCCTGAATGCAAACTATGCATTGTATAGCTCATGGTTTCATTTTCAAAACGAGGTCCAGAATATTTTGATATTTTGGCATTTCGAAAAGCAATATATAATGTTGAATTTCTACTACATTGTATCAAATTGAAAGTGCTCCGTGATGTAAAGTCCCAATCAAAACTGTGGGACCACTTTGACTTATGCATGACTTATGCGCAAAGTATTGTTAAGTCAAAACTTTTCTCATCAGATCTTCATTGTCAGTTTCCGTCAGTAACATGGTCAGTAAGCACCTTAGGGTTATGGAACAAAAGTCACCCAAAGAATCTGCGCAACACTGAGACAGAGGAGGGCTGCCAGATCTGCCCAAAACTATACTCAAACAAACACTGATATGATATTGTGGATGGAAAAGTGACTCTGGGCGTGGTGACGTAGATCCTGCCATTGTTTGAGGCTATGATCGCTGGGCTCCTGCTGCGGCCCCAATCACGGCACCAAGACACAGGAACATTGACAAATCAGATCATAACCTCAGGAAACTTATATGAACCTTTGGCTTTAAATGAGCAGCCTTAATAAATAGCATTGAGCATTTAAGTCAACAAGAAGCAAGCAAAACAAGATATGCATAAAGAGCTGCATAATAATTAGCAAAAGAACTCGGGCTGTCACCGACAATCCCTGTTCTTTTACTTTGTGGACTTTAAAAAGTTATAACTCAAAAACTAAATTTACTATCATAGATTTAGCCTGGCCTTAGCCATCCGTAAACTCCATTCAATCATCATTTCCCTGCATGTAACGTCTGAGTCTAGTCCCTATGTTAGCGATTACAATCGGTTGAATTTCGACCGACCATTTAGAGAGCCTGGAAGGCAGGTGTTGTGGTTAGTTGTGGGTGACGTCAAAAGTTTGCGTCGAACGGACAGGTTGTAGTTTGGTAATGGCGAAAAATGCGATAGTAAAGTAATCCAGTCTGGTTCTATCAAGAAATTGAAGCCGGAGCAAGGGTAATGTTTAGCAAATGTAATTGCCTGAAAAACTCGGGCGCACTACATACGTCACGGTAAACACAGATCCAATCGTTTCAATCTGCAAAAGGAGTTAATCCCTCCAACCTGTAATGGAGCACCTCCAGACCTTAGTACGAAATGTAATTTGTACTATGGTGTGGTACGACCAGGCTATAATAGATTGGAAAAAAAGATTTCAAACACAGACATACAAATAGATAGTGTGGATAAAATATAAAGGAAAAATTGAGAAATGCATTTTTGGCGACATTTTAAACAACTAAATAAGCCTCTAATTTGATAATTCTACAGTGATGGCAGTTACATAGAAAATAAAAGGTCCTCAGTCTGAAAAAGCTGCAGATGAACTCCCCCACGATTAACATGGCTAACACTACAAAAGTAAATCACTTGAGGAATCTTTTTTTATTTTTTTATTAATGACCCTAGAAAATTTGTAACGGAAGTGATGGTTTCCATCAATTTTGTTCAAAAATGTTTAATTGAGAAAAGAAAATGATGGTCTGGTTTACTATACTATACTATATGAAAGTAATCTAACAAAATGATAATGTCTAACACCTTCTGCGTAGCTCGTTCCGTCAAATCATCACGTCCGTTATAAAAAATAAACTGAGCCACCATAAGAAACTCGACTAATTTGTGAAACAGTTATTTTCTAGCAACTTCTAATGGACTGAGGAGGTATTTGGATAAATGAAAAACGTAATATTTCTTCTGATTATTAAAATTTTAATTGTCACACTTGTACTATTAAGTGTGACCAAGCCCTAAATATTTAAATTGCAACTTTTTATCACATAAAGGTTCAAATATGCCATTTGCAGGCTTCTAAATAGAGAAATAAATGTAGAGATGATTATGGAGAAGAACTGGTAATTAATCTTAAAAAGCTGGCTTTGTTAGAAAAGTATTTTGAGATGTTCGTTATTACACTGGTTTAACCAGTTAAAATCTACTTCAGCAGAGTTGGAATAGATGCTAAAGACTCACGGCATCAACACCACCGGTGCAGTAACCCAGAGATAATACTAACGGTGTTGTACACCAGTTACCGTGACAGCCACATTTTGTAACTTGAGAATGGATAGTTGAGAGGATTCCCACTGGCGCTGGTACTCTGACTGCAAATAAAGTTCATGAAAAAAGTTTTGAATTGAATTGAGGGAAGTTTGTTGCTGAGTTCCTGTGCCACAACTGTGATTGCAGCCGCTGTTTCCCCACATGCGTCACTAAAATGACATTGTATTATTGCAAACGGTACAAACTAAGATCTAATTTGAAACTAAAATAATACAGATTGACAGACAGGTGGCAGAGTAGGTGCCTCATAGCAAGAAGGTTGTGGGTTTGATCCTGTCAGCCCAGGCTTTTCTGTGGGGAGTTGTTTCCATGTCCAGGGCAGTTTACTCCAGGTGTTATGATTTACCCCACCACCCAAATCATGCACTATAGGTATAATCCTCTGGTGGTCCAGACCAAGTGGAGCATCCATATACAAAAACGTATACCCTTCCAAACAATAGTTGCAATCGGAATATTACTTCTGAATTTCTGGTGAATAAATAGTAGTGTAAGTTTTAAATAGCATTAAGTATTTTTATATTGTAATCACATTGCTATAGTACTGAGGTTTATGTTGTTTATTTTAAACTACAACTAAAGCAAAAGATCATTAGCAACTACAAAAAGTACAGAGACCAAAGATTGTGGTTTTAGTCACAATGGACGTTATACTCATTTTCTTACCAATGACAAGAATACAGAAAAGCTTTTGAGCTAAATTCTTATTCTCAAGTGGAACGAGTCACTGCCAAAAATGCATATTTGTGCATTCATGTTTCCTGCAGGCTAAAAGCATGCTGCTTTACTGAAGACAGCCGACAAACGCAAATGAGGAAGAGTGGGGAAAAAGTGGGGTGTGCCAAGTTACCACTTGAAAACAACCCTTCGTGCATTTGGGGGCTCCATATTCTCTGGCACAAAGTTGAAAGAAAAACACCAAAGTGGAAACAGATGTTCAGTCGCAGAACTCTGCATTACACATTTTCTGTTTTTAAAAGCATTCTTTTTCATTTAGTTTTTCCTGGGCAAAGATAATTGACAGAGAGAAAATTTACCAAATTTAACAAGGACAGCTAATGGAGAGTAAATGGCAACCATGAACATTAGATAGTTAAGATTAATGTAGCAGCATGGGATCACAACACCACTCTCCATGTTTCTGCATCTACAAAATCCATATAATTTCAATTCAGCACACTTCAACCCAGAGCTCTCACATGATCCACACTAAAAACTAAACTAACAAAATATTAAAAACACTCAAGGATCCAGATCAGGGAATATAGGCAAAGAGAGTTCAATATTTGGAACGCTACAATTTAAAATGTACTTCCTCCATTTTCTATGTAAAATGTGTCCTGGTTTGGTACAATATGAGCTCTGGGGGCAGCTGCAGGGGGAGAGGGAGAGAGGTGCCTTTTCAAATCTTCACAAAAGAGAAGAGGAAGCTGAAAACAAACATCTAACCTGAAACACCCTTAAGGTCCAAGAATCCATAGAAGATATGATGCTGCAAATGACATACACACAACAGGACCCAAACAGGATCTGATCATCGCAACTGACATTACAATGAATGATCTATTATCTGGACAGTTAATCCACAACATTGGGTACCAACTTCACTTTGATTACAGTATTCTGATTGTGTGCAATCATAAATTATTATCAGTATAAATGCACAGTAACAACTTGATTATAACGAGATAATGGATTTATCATAACTTTAACTAATTTAACTAGCTGTATTTTAGATGTTTTTAGTCAAGACTTAAACATGCCACAGATAATTTTATTATGATTGCAGAATTAAATGAAAATGTACATCTAGTAAGAAGGAACCCAATAAGTAACAATTCATCCCTATGAAAGTTCTCAAATATCTAAACAACTAATCGATTATTCGAAGGGACAATTGGTAAATAATTTATTGACAAAATAATCGTTAATAATCGCCCTGTGTCCGACGCTCTGGATGTGTGAATGAATGAGTTTTCCTCGTTCTTTCAGAATCGGATTGGCCCCAGTTTCTTTCTTGCTCCCAAAATAGAAGGGAGAAGGCGAGGAACTCCCCCGCAGCTTTACTCCAGACTCAGAGGCAGCTTAGGGAATACTTTTCTTAGCAGTAAATCATGCAGTCCTATAGTATTGGGGCAAAGTCTGGTAATGATCACTCACCTGAAACGAGGCGAGTCTTTCAGGCACTCCTCAAAATCCACCATTATTTTCATTTTGGCGCAAGTTGAGTCTTTATTCCGCACTAATCCAGGCTAATTAGCCTGTTTGCTAGCGGCGGTACCTCTGTCCAGCTGGCCCCTCTGTCACTGCCCTGTAGCCAGCTAGCCACACAGGCCAGCGTCTACGGAGATAACACCTTACAAATGAGACCATATAACGGGTTACGTTTCCTGATCGAGGGCCAACGACACACTAGAAATGACACAGTGGTCACTTTTAAAAACGGAAAGTGTCGCTGGTAGCTAGGTCATATCAGCTCCAGTGGAGGCGAAGCTCTCCCAGCGCAGTTTACAACCACACACAAAGATCGTCTATGTAAGGAGAAACAAGTGCGTAACGAAAAACATGTTTATTCCAAATGGATCTGGATTGCATACATTGTACCAAGACAGAGAATAGCTTCGTAATATAAAGACATAAGTCAATATTCATATGTATGTGACAAAAATTGACAATATACAAGGAAGTCTGTGCTATTAAGTGATAGGTCTGTCAAACAGACAATCTTTGTATTGGTTGACAGTCGCTTCCTGATTCAGATCCTCTGAGGGGACGTGGGTTTTCGGCCAATGTTTCATGTTCATTGCATGGAAGAAATACATGTTTTAGCATATTCTTAAATGAATTACGCCATGCACATGTCCCGATATGATCATTGCTCTCTGGCCCGGGGCAGCAACTTAAAAAAGCCAGTGATAAAGCTGTGATAAAGCTGCCGTCTTAGGTGGGGGATCTTCACGTCCAAATAACGTGCGACTGCCTTAACGCTCACAACATTCATACAAATAGGTAACATACATTTCCAAATGATACACCCCATACAGGTTAGATTGATCTGGAGACGTGTCTATTCCGTTTACCATGTCCTGACGCCATCTGGTGGTGTATTTTAGTAATAAGGCAAAGCTTTTATTGAATATTTCAGCCTTAAGTAAAGCAATTGCCTAGGGTAGTGTACTGTCTGTACTTTTGTATAATTTGTTATCAATACACTATAATAACTAATAGTTGTTTTGTTGATTTTATGCAGTAAACACCAAGCAAATTCCTAGTTTGTGACCAAGGGTTACTTGAAATGGCAATAAAAATAAAATAAATAAAAATAGGCAGCAGCCATCTAGACTAGAGCATAAACGTTCGGAAAAAAATACAAATTATTCAACATAAAAAGGACTTTAAGCACAAAACATGATTTTCTTTATTTCATTAAGACATGGCAACAACTGGTGTTATTGTTATTTTGTTAAGTCACCATCATAACCTTTAGTTCAGTTTGCCTGCAATTATTTTGTGTTTTTCCTTTTTCAGTAGGTTTGCAGAAAAAAATAAAAACACAATTAAATATGAAAAGCAGAACACAGGAACAAAAAATATATTGGCAACTTTAGCATTACAAAGCACTAGCGTGATGTGCCTGTCAAACTGAACTGTGTACAGGTTTTATCTCTCAAATCACTAGCACATGCTTTATCAATTCGTTTTTGTCCGTTAATACAATTTAAAGGTGTGCCAAAACAGTTATAAACATACATGTCTAATGTATAATTACTGATATTTTAGTTTTAGTGAAAATGTAAAAAAAATAATATTTTAATATATTGATGGCACAGGACACACTAATTTAAGGTCAAAGGGTGCATTGAAAAGGCAGGAAAAACCAGGTCAAAACACAAAAATAAATGTTACAATCACACAGAAACCCAGTGTTGTATTTTTAGGAAAATGCCTAAACAAGGAGGTGGATTTCCCAGATGTTTTTTTGAAAAACCCTGTGCACTGTCCAAATGCTGCAGATTTCTAGTGTTGCTCTTCTTTCTGGCTCTCAGTGCATTCATGTCAGTTACTCCACTGAAGAGGGTCAATGGTGATTTTTCACATGGGGGTAAGCCACTCAGATGTTTATTGACTCGGCAATGTGAAACCAGTGATTTGATGACAAGTATTGCACAAACTGTTTTCAGTTGTTCATTGGGTGTTTCCAGCAGCAGCATTTTTGTTTCCGGGGTTGCACCACTGGGAATTTGGTCCATAGCCTCCCCCTACAAGTCCAGTGATTCAGCTACAGGACATAAAAAGAGAACATGATGTAGATAAATTATACCAGTTAAACCTTAAAACTTTCATTTAAGTTTGCAACACTAGATAATATCAAGTTCAAAAGTCCCAAATAAAATATTCCATTGATTTCTGGTGTGGCAGCAGATCTCCTTCTTTGGTTAAACTGTTAACCAAATCATGTCTGTTATTTACAGGATAGGTAGGGTCAAGAACACATTCAAAATAATGCATTGGTTTTATATGGCGCCGTTTTGGACACTCATTTTGTAGATGCAGTCGGCCCACTGTGGCACCTGGTATTCCCAGAGGTCTCCCATTAAGTGATAACTAGACCTTTCCCTGCTTAGCTTCAGAGGTCTTAATTCAGAATTGATTCCAAATATATCAATGATTAGAAAAGTGGACAAATGATTGGAGCAACTCAAGTAAAACAACAGAGTTGGACTCGTGAACACTTCATAAGTCATCACTGGATCCCGGCCCGTTACAATCGCCACATTACACTTCTGTTACTTTATACAACTGTCACTTTATTCTCTTATACTTGTGGACACCCTGTAGTGTCAATTGTAGTATCTGGACTTTAAAAGGTTATAACTCAGAAACTGAAATTACCATCATAGATTAGAAAAGAATATCACAAACACAGACATATCAGAAAGATATTGTAGATAAAATATAAAGGAATGATTGACAAATACATTTGTGGAAAAAAAGACCACATCAGCCTCTGATTTTACAATTCTTCTGTGACTCCAGTAACATAGACAATAAAAGGTCATCAGTGACAAAGCGGAAGATGAACTCCCACAAAAATAACTTGGCTAACACAATTTCAGTAAATCAATTGATTTAAAAAAAAAAAGAAATATTTTTTGATGTTTTGTTTTATTTTTCTAAAATACCCCTGAAGACTGTTAACGATTTCTGTCAGTTTCTTTTAAAAAAAATGTAACTTAAAAAAACAAAACTTGATGGTCTGGTGTCACATTGAATTGGTTTACTATATGAAAGTAATTACTTTGTTTCTTCTCTGTGGGAAAATAAAAATAATCTATTACTCAAATGTGGACATCTGAAAATATGAAGGCGTCACGTCCTTTCCACAAATAAACAGAGCCACAATAGAACATTTGATAATGTATTACACAGTTATCTTCTAGCAACTATTAATGGACTGAAGAGGTATTTGTGAAAAACATAATATATATTCAGATTTTTAAAATAATTTTTTTGGCACACTTTGGTACCCTTTAGTATAAACAAGCCCATAACTTGTTTGCACCAAGGCAAATTCGTAGTTTGTGACTTCCATGTACACTGGCAACAAAAAGAATTCTGCTTCTGATTTTAATAAAAAAGCGAGGCAAAAGAGCGTTCACGGATACACCATATTTTTACCAAGATGAGAAGAATTATCATTTGCTATTCTTAATGTTTATTGGGATACAGTGACTTCACCTTCCTGAGGAGGGTCGACGCTGATCTCCTCCGTTTCCTCTGCCTGCTCTGGAGTCTCCTCTGTGTCATCTCTCATCTCCTCATCATCGTCATCCTCTTCATCACCCTCAAGTTCACTGGCGATGAGCTGACGGGCAAGTCTGATGTTGAGTCCCTCATTGTAATGCATCTTCCTCATCATCTGAAATTGTTTCTTTTTTGCTGCAGAAAATAAAAAAACATTCCATCAAATTATTGATCATTTCTAAAAAATAATAATAAATAAAAAATAAAAAAACCTTACAGCCCCACCATACACAACCACATGTTTCATATAAGATTGTGTGTTTATTTGTATTGGTTTACAGATAGAAACAAATTGAAACAAGAAAACTTGTAACAGAAAGCAATGATTTATTATGTGTCCTACTCTTTGCTGCTATAAATGAAAGGAGTCTGCTCTGGTAGTACTTCAGTGTGGCTATACTGGCTACACTGCAGTCTTTGACTAATTATTTCATTGTTTATTTTGTTATTAGCAAAATTAACAATTTTCAAAAAGTCTTGCAAGGAGGCTTACTGTAATGTATCTGTACAAAAATTGATTTGTGGACTGGGAGTTGTCTGTAAAGAAAAGAAAATGCATGGGAGTTTACCGTGTTCCTCGGGGGACATTTCTTCTTCCTCTTCTTCACTGCTCTCCTCCTCTTCCTCTTCATCCTTCATAAATCTGGGCTCAGATCCTTCAGCCGCAATTAGTCTAAACAGGAATTTACCAAATAAACATGTGTATTAATAGTGCGCAGTTACAATTTCTACAAAAAAGGCACCATCTCTAATGCCTTTCTGCCTAATGTCAAAGTCACCTGAAAATTGGGTACTCTTTTTTTTTCTAATCTATGATGGTAATTATTCACACCTAAAGCCACCCCTCAGTGGCACCTGGTGTTCCCAGAGGTCTCCCATCACAGTATGAGTCAGGACCTTCCTTGCTGGGTTCTAACAGGATAAGGAGTTCACAACCAGGTGTTGCATGCTGCATACACATACTAAAGCATCCTGAACAGCTCCATAACTGTAAGTCACCTTTTGTGGACGTTAGTCAAATGTAGATACATTGTATTTGGTAATTCATTCATACCACACACGATGGTGGCAAGGTACAATTGCAACCGGAAACCTACACAAACAGGCAGAGAAAAAGCAACGTCCACAGAAAATATGCATTGTGCTTATACGTATACAATGTCAGATATTTCTGCAAATCTTGTGGCCATAAATTGTCAAAATTTAAATTTTCATTGATTTTTGGCTAAAATAAGTTTACTTATTTTTTACTCTTGTATTTCAAATGAAAATAACGATGAAAGGAAAAGTGGGATGGAAGCATTGGTTTAACAATCGGATTCACATCACTGGTCAAATTACTTTCCTCTAATTTTTGGTTGATGCATACTGTACATTCACTTATTTCCTATAAATAATGCTTTATCGACTCTAGTTTTGAGAATAAAAGGGTAAAATAAAATAGAATTACTGAATTAGTTAATAATTTATTTGTTGCGATACTCGTTTCAGCCCTTCTTACTTTGAGGCCAGGTCATCCGCAGTGAGAGCTTGGCCGTCTGAATCACTCAGAACTCCGTCATCATCGTCACCAACCATTCTGGGGAAAAAATGAATAAATAGAAGATGCTTATAATTATAATTATAATCACATAACACAGGAATAAGAATCACTCTTTTCTATACTTTGAGAGTCTATTCTCTGTGACAGGGTACACAGAGCATATTTCACGGGACAGATTGTACTTTATATTACTCCATGAACAATGCCTCACTCAGAATCGGAGACTGTTGTGTTGAACCGGTTTTCTTCTGGCCCATTGAAGAAACCATCAATAATAAACATTCACTGTGTCGTCTCTAACAAGTGATGAGCTTTGACTGCAGAAGCTTTTGAATTCACAAGTTCATGCAGTAAAAAAGATGTAGCATTTGGTCCGAAAAGGTTTTGGGGGAACGTGACGTGGGCAAGTGGGAAGCACTCATGCCTCACAGTAAAAAAGACCATGGGTTCCATATTGTCTGAATGAGTTTCCTCCGTGAACTCCGGTTTCCCCAATAAAGCCAAAACGTCCACTCAATTGAACATCCTAGTTGCTATTGGACTAAAGTGCAATAATAACATTATAATCAGTGTTGGGTGAAACACGTAACAAAGGAAAGCTGCTGTGAGCGGCAGCTTCTCTTTGTTTATTCTCAGCTGGCTCTTCATCATCGAGTGAGAGGTCCTTAACCGATTACCCCAAGTAAGAGCTGTGTTCATGACAACAACCCCATGTTACATGCTCTGGGGCATTTTGATAGAAGAGCATGAAAGAAATTTCTGTTTATCTTCATAGTAAAACTTCCACAACAAATTTAATAACAAATTTAAGTTCTGCTCAAAGTCGAGCATAATAACGTAATTAGCAGTAACGAGTAAAGTGACGTAGTTATTCTCTAAAGCAGGGGTGGCCAACCAGTCAGAGACTAAGAGCCAATTTTTTTACTGTATTACAGCAAAGAGCCACATCATACAAATGTGCACTACATAAACATCACCCCAACCCTTACACACGCACGCACACGCGCACGTACGCACTCGAGCAGACACGCGCACACACATGCAATCTGTCTGAGCAGAGAGAGGTGTGCTCTGCTCAGACAGATTTATTGTAAATGTCATCAACATGATAATGACAGAAATTGACTCGTACAGTACTAAAGGACTCGACTCTCCCTGGTTTGCGGGCGCTTCTACCGCTCCCCGGTACTTTTTATTAATGGTTTGGCCCTGGTTCTAACCGGGCGAGTCGATACAGAACAATTTCACGTCAGCGAACATCAATTATGATTCCGAAATGAATGCTTTCAATCTCTAACCAAGAAAAAAAATCGAGTTTCAACCCAGTGTTCAGCAGAAACACAACTGTCTTTATGGAACAATAACTGCGTTTAGTAAAAAATATAGATGTGACCCATAACACCAACACCACTTTAGCTGATTTAGAACTACAGACACATGTTCAGTATACGACCAGATACTTTTGCATTTGATTGAAGACAGACACTCACCAGGCAGAGTTGAGGCTTATCTCCTGGTGTAGCTGGTGCTAGCTGGTTTTAGCATGTTAGCTGGAGTTAGCCGATGTCCGTAAATTTAATCCATTTGGTCAAACCACCTCCAGACTTTTCGGTTCTGCCTCTACTTCTGCTGCTGTGATCTTTCATTTCACGGTTGTCACTTTTAAGCTTTTTAATTTTTCTCTGCATTGTGATGTTCGTGGGAATCATTCTGCTCCGTCCTTAGTGCTAGCTCCACAAACACCTTCTGGTTTCTGGTGGAACCATCGAGCTCACACTGGTGTCCTCTCCTCAAACTGAGGAAGGTGTTGCCCTCATCCAGCGACCAAGGAACTGTTTCCCGTACGGACGCCATGGGTCGAGGCAACGTGTTGTTTGTTATGATATTTGCAACAGCTGAGGCAGCAGCTGCAGAGTGATTGACCAATCAGAATTGACGTTCGCCGACGTCAGATTGTTTTGGCGGCCCGGCTAGTGGAGTGAAGTCGGCCTTTACTATGGGTCAGAACAATGAATGGCAGCGCCACCACCGAGGCGTTTTTGACGCTTGTCATGTGAAAGCCCAAGAGCCGCACGGAACCAGCCAAAGAGCCGCATGCGGCTCACGAGCCGCGGGTTGGCCACCCCTGCTCTAAAGAAAGAAACTAAGTAAAGTAACAGGTTACTTTTTAAAAGTATTTTCTTTCCCAAAATAAGTCAAAATGCATGTTGGAACTTCAGTGTTCATCATATTGTGTTTAGCAGAAAATGGCAGCATAAATAACAAATGATAACTAGGGTTGTCAAAATGATCGCGTTAACTCACGTTAATACATTTTTTTTATGCTCATGCATCCCATAATAACACTCAGAATGTCTACTACAGAAAGACAAAATTTTAATAATGTTAATGCCATTTTATATGGATTTATTGTCGTTATAATAAACAAATCAGAGATGGGCACACAGTGGCTCAGCATTGGCCTTTGAGCCTGAAGGTTGTGGTTTTGAGCCCACCATGAGTAGCCTGACTCTCGCCAGACCCATGTAGTTCGCTGCACTTCAGCCAAACGCCTCTGGTGGAGCATGGTGGAACTACAAGGGTCTGGCAGAGCCAGGCTACACCATGAGACCTTCTCCACCGACTCCCACTGATGACTGCTGTCGTTGTGTCCTTGGGCAAGACACTTAACCCCACTCTGCCTGAAGCCCCTGCTGAAAGATCAAGGCTATGCCATAGAGCGGCCATCCTCCTGTGGACTCACCACCTGCAGGAGGATCAATGAGGGGCTGGTGCTATGTGTACTGGGTGGCATCTCTGGCAACCCCCCTGACCCAGAAATGGATTAAGGGGTAGAAAATGGATGGATGGATGGATAATAAACAAATACAGTACATATGTACACTATGTTGTCATTTATCTTTCAAAATGCGATTAATTACGATTAATTCATTTTTAAACTGTAATTCACTCGATTAAAATTTGAATCATTTGACAGCCCTGGTGAAAACCTATTTATGCATTCAATTGTTATTACACACCTTAAAAATATCAATATTGCAGCTTACTCAAGCAATGTACACTGTTTAACCTGTTATAGGGAGTACTTGGTTCATCAATCTTCATCAGGCCGTAGTCTTTATCTGCTGGATGGTATGTGGCAAGTATGTTCATCTCATCCCATTTTGTGGATTTTTTTCTGCAAAAAAATGTGTCAGTCAGTTAGCAATCATTGGGAAATATTGTTATTTATTATTGATTGTTAATATTAGTAAATTGGCCACGATTACTACGATTACTTAGAAAATAAAAGGAAAGGTAACAGATATAACTATACCCAATCAGAAATAAGGCTCTTTGAATTTGAATCTGGAAGAATGTGTTTTCACAACAAATGCAATTGTTTTCACTAAGCTAATCTGAAAACAAAAGCCATTTGATCCATTATCTTGACTTAGTTTTACATATGCAGCTCATCTGAGCATAATCAAAGCATCAACAACATTAAACACAAAATGGAACACTGTCATGTGCTGTGAATGTGATTCACCAAACTTTAGAAATACACTTCAAAGAGCTGACCATAGGTAGACACATAAATGCGTATTTTCATTGAGTTAATTATACACAGTGCTCCTTTGGGGTAAACATGGCTCAGCAGTCAGAATGTTCTTTATCCCCCACTGTGTAATAATGTCCAATCTGAAATATGGCCAATTATGGACATGATAGCAACATGATGGTGGTAAACGAGAAAGTTCCTGATAGAGGCTACGTTAGCCTAGCTATGTGCGTGCTAAACTGATGCTGAATGGATGGCAATGGTTAGCCTCACAGGTGTTAGCTTCATGTAATTGTTCAACTGTCCCGAACTTACTGCTGATCATCCTCTGTGAATCCGGCTACTTGTTCCGGTACGTCTCCTGGACCTTCAGTGGACAGCGTCTGAGCGTGAGTCCCGCTGTTTTTGTTTTTTAGGATACCTTTTATCGGCCGAGGAGCTGCCATTCCCACACGCTGGCCGCCTCCCTGGTGTCTGTGTACATGGACGTCGGAACTATTTTCTGAGAGGGGGGGCGGGTTTTTGTTGGGAGAGTCGAGGGAGAGACTCATACTTGGATTACACTGGATAATAACATACCATCTTAATTGTTAAGAAAAACAAAATAAACAATATATATCAAGCAAGTCACTTATCAAACTGAACTTTTTTTTTTTCAATACGCATTCATGCGTCAGTCTCTCCGGTGGCTTCATTGTGTTGTGTAGCCCAGTGACGTGCGGTCAGATGAGGCAGCAGGCAAGGCCCTCACCTAAGATCATAGAAAGAAAAGTAATAAAATGGATACAATAATGTTTGGTCACTTTATCAAGTGATTTGTGCTGTGCCTTATTTCATTTATTTATACCTTGAAATCGCAGATTTGACAGAGCGGTGCTGTGAGGCAAGCCTCTCTTGGGAGACGTAAAAAGCAACAGCTCACAGGGAGAGTCCTGTGAGGTGCTATCAAACTGTTTTCCCTGTTTATCACAGTTTAAAAAGTTCAAAAATATTTAATTTACAATCAACATGTTTACATTTAAGAGGATGGCTCATAAATTGTGTTTTTGAAGCAAATATGGGTCTTAATCGCGCTCAACCACAGCTTGTAAGTGAGGAAAGCCTCAAGGGGGCGCTTGTGAGCCCAAACTTTGGCTGCATCCAATTCCATCAGAAAGCTCCTTTCCATAGACGTCGGAACTAGGGGTGCGGGGGGTGCGGCCGCACCCCCTCCGCGTGTGCCGGGAGCGAGAAGTTATCACTACCCTGCGTTCCTTGCAGCCCAAAACCCGCTCCATGCTGTCGGAGAAGCTTATGAAGCTCTGTCTGGCTAATATCTGTCGCAGCCTCTGAGCGCTCTTTCTCAGCCTTGCGCAGATTAGAGACCTGGCTACACCAGTGACGTGCGGTGGGGGATCAATCATGTGTTCATATGATTATACATCATATAAACCAACAGGACCTACAGGAACAGGAGCGGCTTATACACAATTTGTTTGGCTACAGCAGAATATGATTTAATGTCTGCATTGTTTTCTCATACAAAACGCAAACGTTTGTAAAAAGTACAAAGTGTGTTATGGGCCTTACCTTAGGTATTAATGAACAGCACAGACCACTTCAGTTAGGACCAGTTTCATGTTTAAGTCCAGATAATAGTTTGAGCACAGACATGTAATCCTCCATTTGGAAATAAGTTCAATGAGTTTTAAAAAGTAAAAAAAACAGGTGTCTCCTCCGTAAACTGCGAGTTTTGCTGCAGCCGACTCCCGGGTAAATCCAATTTCTAAATTCAACCTTACCCTTCACCTCCTTTTCTTATGATTCATATCATCATTGGAAGCAAAACATTACTCTAAGTGCATTTTAAATTATCTTAAAATGTATTATAGGTATGTTAGCCAAACCTGTAGCTGCCCTTAGCAGAAGAAGAACAAGAAAGGAGCTTTCTGATGGAATTGGATGCAGCCAAAGTTTGGGCTCACAAGCGCCCCCTTGAGGCTTTCCTCACTTACAAGCAGTGGTTGAGCGCGATTAAGACCCATATTTGCTTCAAAAACACAATTTATGAGCCATCCTCTTAAATGTAAACATGTTGATTGTAAATTAAATATTTTTGGACTTTTTAAACTGTGATAAACAGAGAAAACAGTTTGATAGCACCTCACAGGACTCTCCCTGTGAGCTGTTGCTTTTTACGTCTCCCAAGAGAGGCTCGCCTCACAGCACCGCTCTGTCAAATCTGCGATTTCAAGGTATAAATAAATGAAATAAGGCACAGCACAAATCACTTGATAAAGTGACCAAACATTATTGTATCCATTTTATTACTTTTCTTTCTATGATCTTAGGTGAGGGCCTTGCCTGCCTCATCTGACCGCACGTCACTGGGCTACACAACACAATGAAGCCACCGGAGAGACTGACGCATGAATGCGTATTGAAAAAAAAAAAGTTCAGTTTGATAAGTGACTCGCTTGATATATATTGTTTATTTTGTTTTTCTTAACAATTAAGATGGTATGTTATTATCCAGTGTAATCCAAGTATGAGTCTCTCCCTCGACTCTCCCAACAAAAACCCGCCCCCCCTCTCAGAAAATAGTTCCGACGTCCATGCTCCTTTCTTGTTCTTCTTCTGCTAAGGGCAGCTACAGGTTTGGCTAACATACCTATAATACATTTTAAGATAATTTAAAATGCACTTAGAGTAATGTTTTGCTTCCAATGATGATATGAATCATAAGAAAAGGAGGTGAAGGGTAAGGTTGAATTTAGAAATTGGATTTACCCGGGAGTCGGCTGCAGCAAAACTCGGAGTTTACGGAGGAGACACCCGTTTTTTTTACTTTTTAAAACTCATTGAACTTATTTCCAAATGGAGGATTACATGTCTGTGCCCAAACTATTATCTGGACTTAAACATGAAACTGGTCCTAACTGAAGTGGTCTGTGCTGTTCATTAATACCTAAGGTAAGGCCCATAACACACTTTGTACTATTTACAAACGTTTGCGTTTTGTATGAGAAAACAATGCAGACATTAAATCATATTCTGCTGTAGCCAAACAAATTGTGTATAAGCCGCTCCTGTTCCTGTAGGTCCTGTTGGTTTATATGATGTATAATCATATGAACACATGATTGATCCCCCACCGCACGTCACTGGTGTAGCCAGGTCTCTAATCTGAGGCTGAGAAAGAGCGCTCAGAGGCTGCGACAGATATTAGCCAGACAGAGCTTCATAAGCTTCTCCGACAGCATGGAGCGGGTTTTGGGCTGCAAGGAACGCAGGATAGTGATAACTTCTCGCTCCCGGCACACGCGGAGGGGGTGCGGCCGCACCCCCCGCACCCCTAGTTCCGACGTCTATGTCTGTGTATGTGTAATTACAGCCCTCCTTACAAAACCGGCTAAACAAGATGAAAAATTTGTAGATTTTCAAAAGAAAAGAGCTAATTTTATCCGCTCCGGGTCAGCGGCTCCCATACTGTGAGCTCAAATAACCAGACTGTGACATGCTCAAACAGAGCAGCAGAAGTGCGCTCTGTACCAATGTAGGCCGCCAGGCGGCACCAGAGTTACATCAACACAACTACACAATCGCTATGTGGGAAAAACGCCATCTATTCTGGTAGGAGCTCGAGCTCCACAAATTATTAATCTCGAACATTCTCTTCTTTTTTCCCAATCAACAAATCTTACTTACCTGGCGTCTTAGACCTAGCCAAGATACAGGTATTATACAATTTATTCTACAATGTATCTGCTCCTGTGGACTCACCACCTGCAGGAGGATCAGTGAGGGGCTGGTGCTCTGTGGACTGGGTGCAGCTCTGACTGCCACCCCCGACCCAGAAATGGATTAAGGGGAAGAAAATGGATGGATGGATGGATTATACTCTTGACGCCTTGATCCGAAGCCACCCAAGCCACAGAGCGGTGGCTTGGTGTTTATTGGCTGATAGATCACATCTGCACACATAAGTAGAGTACATAGAAAAGTGTTATGATTATCGTGAACACTCTATCCATCCTTGTAGGGAAACTTTGTCCTCTGCATTTGACACATCCTACAATGTCTCGAGGGGGTCAGTCAGGAGCAGTGGTCGCCATAGTACAGGACCCATCTCCAGATGTCGATGGTCTGTTTGGTCAGGACTACAGAAGCTGGACGGTTTTACCTATCTCTTCTTGTCAAGAGACATTCAGCAGGGATCTACTCTCCCTGCTGTGTCTTCTGGTTTAACAGGGTTTATTATTATTATTATTATGTGTTAAGCATAAAGATGATGATGAAAAGTTTCTCATAAACACCGCTACAATCAGATGGGCATAATCACGTGAAACTGAATATTAGGCTTTTTTCGCATTTTTTTTTTTAGCTGTCACGTGGATAAAATGTTTACGTCTCCAAAAGTGGTTTCCTGAGAGCAGTGATTGACATGTGGTCTGACCAATCAGAGGCTCTGGAGACCGAGGCGCATGGCGGATCCGTGCTGCTAACATGAAGCGTCTGCAAATCGGAGCAACTAGAAGAGATTATACTGCTAACCTTCAAGCTTTATGAACTATACCGAATCGAGATGTAGATCAAGTATCCACTGTTATACACATATATCTACACGCGGATGTTAGTGAAGGAGCAATGATATTGTCAATCGCCAATTTCCTGGCTACAACTATTTTCCAGGCAGAAACACAGGTAAACACCCTCTGCAGTTAGCTTCATGTGCTAGCGTCAGGCTACATCGGTCTGTTTTCCCAACCAGCTGTTCATTGCTTTGTGTCTGTCGTGTGTCCTGGCATTCATACGCACTTACTTTAGTATGATTCATGCGTCTACACTGTCGATGCTATCGATTTTTCAGCAAATAAACTAATAATAAACGAAAGGGTGTGTAGTTGTAACTATATAACATTGTATCTATATAACATTTCAATATGATAATAATTGTTACTCGATTTCTGTCATAAGGAATAGTCTCACACACCCAACAGTTTTTTCCCCCACAGTTTGTCTCATCCTGAGTTATTGTTGTGTATCTGCTATTGTTATAAGTAGAAATTGGGTTTAAATGTACTTTAGTCCACATTATGATCCAGTTTTTCCAGTTGGTTTGTCAATAATACAGGTAGTGTATAAATGAAAAATAAAGAAGACTTGTTTGTTTCCTTCTGTCAACCTACCTAATATGTGTGTTTAAGAAAATTAAGTCTACTCTTTCTCAAACATCCCAACTACATGGTGTAGTTAGCAGGCCAGAAAGGTTTTCATGTGTAGTAATGTGTTTTTTCTGTTTTTTTTATTTAATGTGTATGTTGATGATTTGTCACAAGTCAAATAGAATATATGTGAAACAATCCCTAACTTTAAGCTCCATCTATGGACCAACTACTGTCGGGGTCCCTCCATAGACTCACAAGGGCCTACAACTATACCTTCAGGCACCGGGTGCTCTGGTGGCACAGTGCCAGTGAACTGTTTGTGGGCACTCACATTCACACCTGTGAGACTCTGACCCAACATCTTAACTTTCAAGAAGCATCTGGTGTTATCTGAAAACACCATTATTCAGTCTTTGACCAACTGTAAAAGGAGCTCAAGGCGCTACACCTCTGCTCTGAAAAAGCACGGGGTGAAACGCTCTACTGTCATCTTAACAAAACTATTGGGATAATTCTGCTTCTGAGAACCAGCTCACATGCTCCAGTTTCTGATCCTCTATTCTGTAACCATAATGTTGAAAGGGTTTAATCTATGAATCTGGTTAACAACTTTTTGCTTCTGTTAATTTGCAAATTGAACAGCCATTTAGATGTCTATGAGACTAGCATTTATGTAGTATAAATTAGCCACATTTTGATCGTTTTATGGAGTTGGCCTTGTTCTTTCGTCCATCTTCTTCCCCTTGGTCCATTTCTTGGCCCAGGGAGGTCAGAAATGCCACCCTATTCAAAGAGCACCACCCCCTTGTCCTTTTTGTAATATTAACAATAACATTTTATTTTTATTAATAGTAATTCTATAAAGAATGAATATTCAAATAGAGTAAATCTCTATGAGGAAAACTTAGCTTCATAAAGTAATTTTGACCAATATATAATTTAAAGTTCATCTTGTCTGCTAATTGCAAATCAACAATTTCATCCATCTACCTCAGCCATGGCGACATAAGTAGTTCACCACCTCTGTGTATGGAGTGAATTCTTATTTATTTATTTATTATTATGAATAATAATTCTGTTCTTAGTGATGCTTCTCACCAGCGCTTTCTGAGCGTTTGGGCCCGACGTCCAAATCACAGCCATATTCTGTTGTTTTTCCTGATTTGCTATGATCAATTGACCACTTGACCCAATGCTGCTATAAAATCCTGGCAAGAACCCAGAACTGTTGAGTTGGATATTATTTTCTTAATACTCAAGCAATAATTTTAATTGCATCTTTGCTTGTGTATTTTGTAGGCATAAAGGACGCTGGTTGTGCCATTTGGAGAAGGTCAAATTAGCAGCTGTTGATGTCAAGATGCTGCTCTCTCTGGGGATGCTCATGTTGTCTGCCACACAGATCTATACCATCTTCACAGTTCAACTATTTGCTTTCCTCAACCTGCTGCCTGTGGAGGCTGATATCGCAGCTGTAAGACTTTAACTCAATTATTATTTGCATTTTATGCCAACAGATAGTATACTGAATTATATACTTGTAAAACCTTTTTTTCAGTATTCCTTTGATAACAAAACAGAGACCTTAGAAGATCTGCCTGCACGGTTTGGGTATCGGCTTCCGAGTGATGGGCTGAAAGTAAGTAATATTTGTGGGCCTAAACATTTTTATTTTTTATTCCTGTGACTTCTCATTTCTAACATTGGCTGTTAGTTCAGGAAAAAAAAAAATGTTATTGCACAATGTTGTGTGAACATATATTACAGTGGCTTACATTTAATTCCACTGTAGTATCCCGTACCTTTTATCCTGTACTACTGTAATGAGTGACTTAATTTAGAGAAGGATTACCTTTGCAACAGCACCACATCAAAAGCGATAAAATAAACCTGTCTCAACACTGTCTAATCCCAGCTGACAATTCCTATTAGTGGATGAACAATCAAACACTGGATGATTGCTGCCTTACGATGATGGGAAGTACTGGCGGATGTTTAGGTACTTTTTAATATTGCATTCAGACGTAATGGTTCCCTGAGCTCAGTTGCTCCCATATTGTTCCGTTGGTAGTGGGATTGAAATTGAAACTAGAACTATCTATCTATCTTGTAAATAGTAACTGTAACTCTATTTTAAATTTAAATGTATTCCTTAGAAGTTTATTTTTTATTATCTCTTTCTGACTGTTGCACTGAGCCAAAGCAATTTCCAAGTCTGTGACTTCCTGTTACTTACGTGGCAATAAAAATGATTCTGATTCTGATCTAAACAAACTAAGAGTGACATTGAATGAAATATGTGAAGACGTGTGTAGAGTAAAAAAACATTTAGTTACAATCCATTTACTTTCCCCACGTTTAGCAGCCTAACTGGTCCCAACTGTGGAACTGAAACAGAACTAAAGCAGGGATTTCATTTGCTTGAATGAATCACTTTTTCAAGAAGATTTGAGAAACATAATGACAACATCCACAAGTATGAATGATGTTGTGAGAACAGGTAGCAGCAGTGTTTAGTATCATTTAAACTTATTGGCCACTTTATATACTTGATAAAGCGGCACAATAGAAATAGATAATTTTGGTTATTTGAAATGGTCTCGACGTAAAGGGCAGACGAGGATGAGAAGAAATGCATTCGTACTTCAGGCAGGTACTTGTCACATAAGTGTGTACATATTAGTGCGTAAAAGTAAACAAAAACATTATTTTTCGGTCTCACCTATATCTTTAATTCAATTTACTTTTGTATAACCCTAAATCACTACAACAGTTGCCTCTGGACTTTTCAAAGTAGTTAATTTGCCATCAACAGATGGAATGCTGTTTAAAAACATGAAATTCACTGATAACAAGGAGCTGTGTGACCAATGTCCATACATTTTTATAAATGTCCTTAAATGTCCTGGATCATCACTTTCCTTTGACCCTCCTGCATCACCAAGGCACAACTGAAAACATCCGGTGGGAAAAAGGTGATAGACCTGAGGGAGGCCCACATTGAGAGAGGGATCTGCTCCCATGGACAGACATGCTAGAGATCCAGAGTGCTGCCCACAAATCCGGGCTGAGGGAGACCGTCCACAGGTGCAGATTAAAGAGTCTGGATTCAGGGGTCCATCATCACGCCATGAAACGGACTATGGTATTGCAGGCGAATGGCAAAGATCAGACTACAGCTGAAGTCCTAATCATGACAGATAAAGTAGGAAAAGCAGAGGATAGTCCTCAAGTTACCATACTTCTCTCAGCAAAGTGTCTCCATTCGCAGCGTGACTGACTATGTGTTTTTAGACTTAAGTCTACCCTCCTAGTCATATGCTGAATTAAAGTCTGGCCGTATCTATGCAGAAAAGAGTTTGTCTAGTAACTTTATGGTTCTAATGACTACTGTGAGACATGTCTTCTGTCTGAATTAATGACACAATCCCAGACTTTGTCATCGTCTTCACTACTCAAGCAAAGACGTCTCTTTTTTGCCTTGAAAGGGGTTTGAGTCCATAGAGTTCTGTCAAACGTTTTATTGCTTTTATCAAAGTGATTTCAACAGCCAAAAGCATGCCATCTATGCTCATTAATTTCTAGTTTAATTGTTTCCCCATTCTTCCTTAAAAAGTAATCCCATTCTGAAAGAGGTCATAGCATGTAGTTTTTCTTTTGTAGTTTATTAAGATCCTATTAGCCACAGAAGTGCAGTGACTTTTCTTCATGGAGTCTCTCACAGACCCCATGTGTTTTTATTAGAAATTGGTATGGTGTACTTGTATTTTGGACAGTCATGTCATGTCATTTTCATCCCCTTATTATTCCTTTTCTGGGTCGGGGGGTTGGCAAGCAGAGCTGCCACCCCAGTCTCATTGCACCATAGTAACCAATATCACAGATTTGTAACTCTTTCACAAATGTATGCAAGCAGAACCCATGTGAGTTCTTCTTTTGTTCTTCAGCAAAACTACTTCCTCAAAACTACTTCTAAAATAAAAAACTTACAAGCACTCCACACATAAAACATTTTATAAAGCAACTGAAAATCTGGCTTCAATCCATCCAACAAATGAGCTTTAACTGTTTTTGCTTTGTATTGCTTGCTTGTCACATTTGTTAAATGTATGTTTGTAATTATCTTATGTGCTGTTAATACAACTTTTATTATTTGTTTTTTTATTTACTATTGATATGTCTTAAAGACATATTCACACCTTGCCCAGGGACCTCAGCATTGTCCCTGTTCCAATCATAATATTATTGCAATAATAGTAATTATTACAGAATATGATTATTACATTTATATAGGAGGAGTTTCCCATTTAGGAAAGAACCACCCTCCACTTTTTGAACAAAACTCTCTGGTTTGTCGAGCATGTATGACCAGAATGATTGACAATTGGGAAGACCAATAGTCTTGATGATCCACCCAGAAGTAGAAAATCCTCATATACCTTCGAGCTTTATAGACTAAATTGGCCACTGTGTATCTTTTATTTTTATTGTATTTAGAAAATGACGTTATTATTCTATCATTAGAATAGAAACACTGCAAGACACCTCTGAGTATTTCCCAATCTGTTAACTCATTGGCCACAAAATAGTCCTTCTGAGATATTGTAGGCCTAATGTGTCATGCCATTCATTAGACTCAATGCTCTCCATGGGTTGTGTAAAGGTAGTAGTCGTAAACCTCATCTTTGGTCTTTCTATGAACCTTTTACAAGGATTCCACTCCTTCCTGTTTTTCTCTTTCTGTTTCAGTGACTTTTTCCTTTAAGCCAACAGAGGGCACTCTTGTATCTGGTAATGTTGCTGCTGCTGGTGTTATGTGAATCACGAAAGTAGTAGATTTTTGTCTGATTTGTACTGTAAATGATCAAAACATTTATTTACTGCTTTATTTTTAAACATGACCAATATCTCGGTCATACTGGTTATCATCAAGGTTACTCTCAAAAATGCTGGATAATGGAAACATCTTTTAGAAAAGTGCCGACTCTTCTTGATATTCCAACAGGGAATTCATCAGGCCAAGCTTACGTGTCCAATAAGCTTCCTCCACACATTTGCTGTCACTTTTTCTATTTTGACTTCTTGATCTCTAATTGATCAACGTTCATTTATTGTCAGGGTGTCTCTTTCATCGTATTCTCAAGGACAAAATAAGATAAAGAATGGTTCATTTTGTCATTGTTCTGTAAATGAGTACCGGTAATCATTATTTTTTGTTTTGAGAATGTTGTAACTTAAAGGCACCGCAACATTTTTTGAGATTGCATTGATGGGCAAAAAGTTGAATGTGATTTTTCTTCCTCCAGGGCTTCTTGATTGGGGCTCGTCCAGAGAATGCCTGTGAACCCATCGAGCCGGCTCCCAGAGACAACCTGACCGGAGCCTTCATCGTCCTCATCAAGCGTTTCGACTGTAACTTTGATGTAAAGGTATGCCACTGCCTGGCATGATCCCAACATCCCTATAATACAGACATTGTTCAAGGTTTCAGTAGATTGTGTCCCTAATTGTAGACCTAAGCACTCACATTATAATGAAATATGTATGGGAGATCTGAGCGACATAAGTTATATTTTAATTCTCAGCCTTAACATTTACAGGCTTTAAGAGGATTGCTGTGACATTGTCTGTATATTGTAATCTGGAATATTCAATTGACCTTGCCCAATCCTACCACAAAGTAATTGTTGAGTACATACACTGTAATAGGAGGATCCAAGAGATTTCTTTGGGATTCAATCTGATAGGAACTTAGTCCTAATGAATTGCGCTGATACCAATATTAGTTCAATACCACATCAATATGGCTAATTCAACAAAATTAGAAAAACTGGATTCAAGTCTGTGACTAATTGATTTTTCCCATATCGGTAACTACTTGCCCCAGATCATTCCATACCTGAAAAGTAGTACTGGAGCATTCTTGTATCGGAACATCCCTAGCTCAGAGAAGTCCTCCTGGTGCTTAAACTGTCCAGAGTCTTCACACACAGAAACAACAGCACTAGTTCACATAAGGGTTAATGCATGAACACAACACTCCGACATCCCTAATCTCTCTCTCCCTGATCTGCTCCTTCAATGCAAGACTTGTAAGGTTACCACATTGGTATACTTGGTATTTTTGTCTTGCTAATAAATGGTAGAAATACGAAAAAAAGTATGAAATATACTTAGATGACAGTTTCCTGGCTTTCCATAGATCTTAAATACCAGTGGTACTTTGTGAACATACACATGGCTTGGAGCTGCCTGTGACTGAATACATTTCCGCAAAGTAACACTACCACTATCTAAAAATGTTAGCTTAATACTATATTCAGCAAAATATTTTTTGGTATTTACTATTTAAATCATAAAACAGAAAAGTGAATGTTGGATTGCAAAGAACATCAATTACAAAAAGTGCAATCAGAATGAATTAATTGAGCTAACTTGGTGCATCAGTGCCCAGAAGAACAGGGTTTTTTTTAGAACATTTACCTCAGACACACAATTTCCCAGAATTGCTATTCCTATCCTGCTGTATGGAGATGTTTTGTTTACATTTTTGCTGAGAAATGAGTTGCGAGTTCTCTAGTTTCACCAAATCAAATCTGTGTTGTTGCCACTCACTTGGAGTGACAGTAAGATTAGCTCTTTAGACTTGGCAGTAGAATTCAGTTTTATTTTCACAGTGCTGAATTGTCCAAGCCGAAATTACGCAAATGTTTTCTGCTTTTGAGAATGTCTGTAGTTTAACACTTTTCAAACACATTTTTAACTTGCATCTAGTTCAGTTTTTCACACATTTTCTGTTGTTTTGGCCCTTTTCTCTGTCTTGTTCCTCTGACGCGCACCCTCACTTTTTTCCTCTTCATTGTAGATCTGGTTCAGCTGTGTGACCTTATAAGGGCATATATCCTCAAACGCACACACTTAGACACACAGAGCTGCTCTTTGAGAAGGCAGCGAGGTGTTCCCTGGATGCGAGCGTAACCAGACTCCATTTCACATAGCAAAGTGTCAGCCAGACTTGCAAAGTATATAAACATGCGTTGCTGCATTTTCTTACAACAACTTACGCATAAATAACATTTAGAAGCACAATCCGATATAGGACATATACAAAGACAAAACATTTTTTTAACTCTTAAAAAGTCTAAATTGCCTTTTTTAAATCTGTTTTACTAGCACTTTGTCTGTGTTTTTCTGTTGCCCTTTGAGTGACATCCAAACATGTGGACTCTTTTTCCACTTTCCTACCTCCGAGTGGGAGGTCAGCTGTGGCAAGACTGTCTCAGTTATGAAAGACAGCTGTGATGCTTGACTTTTATTTGATTGATGTGTACACTAGGTAATTAGCAATGGCAACATAATGTCATTCAGATTGTGTTTGCCTTTTGTCTTTCATCTGATCAACTGACTTTGAGCCATAATAAGTGATACATTCATTTTTGTTACAAAAATAGTTCTTTCTGCCATAACTTTACATCGAATGTGTACAAATATGTAACCTTTGCTAGTAATACATGCAAATCTGGGTAATTAAGCCCAAGGGAACACTCTGACAGGACATATGGACTTCACAGCCGGTGAGAGCAGAGAGCAACAGAGAAGTAACCACTTGAAGCTGGAGATTAAAAAAAAAAAAAGATGGGAAAACAAGACTAGATTGTTTTAATACTCCTCAGTCTTCTAGTTTTCTTTGACTCTTGCTCTAAGTCTTCTTTGCCACTCCAACTTTTCAGCCCTCGGCTCACAAGGGCACAAGCTCCCAAAAAAACAAAAGAATAATGCATTCCATCTTGACCATGACAAGACTGCTGTGTGTGCGTGCTCGCGTGTGTGTGTGTGCAAATGTGTGCGCGCGCACCAACAGAAACGCTAATGTCTTCTTGCCCTCCGAGGTTTCCCCCTTTTGCAACACATTTATTCGCCAGCCTGTAGTAAGTGATTGAAATGGCCAATAAAACAGACCCTCTCCCACTTAACCCCTAACTGTTAGCAGCTTGTGTGATAAGACGAACACCGACGAGGTTAACTGCTGATGAAGAGAGGAGAGGGCTCAAGTATAGGCCACATTAATGGATCAAGGCTTCCTCTGCATGTATATGTCTGCTTCGGTCTGGTGCAAGCACAATAAAGCATTCCTAAATTCCCCTGAAATGCAAAAATCCCATGAGATGAATGGTTTTTGACTTCCTGTATTCAGAGTGGGGGTGGAGACTTTGGTGACCTGTTTGACCTTTGCATATGAGTGAAGGGGCAGGAGGGGGGCACAGGAAACTCAATACTTTATTCCTCTTTCGTTCCTCTGATGTGGCCTCACTCCCTTATTGGTCAGGCTGCTGGTCCATCTCTCTAATAACACGTACAGTCCATAGGAGACATTATGTCCGTGTTATGTAACCTGTGCGCAGATATGCCCTGCTCTGGGAAACCGTTCAGTGGAGCTGCTGACATGTGCCATTTTTTATTTGATTCTGAGTAACTTTGCACTGGGTTTGTGACTTAAAGTGGATACATGTTTGCAAGTAAAAGTCCTAATGTCAACTTTTAAGTGTGAAATAATAAGAAAAAGAGAACAAATAATACTTCAAACAAAGATTCTTCCACTTTTTCTGAACAGATTAAAGAGATTATGTAATCAGATTGTTTTGCTTTTTTGAGAATATATTTGTATTTTCCATTTGTGGATTTGCCAATGAAAGTAAAATATGAAAAAAGCATCTTTTCACTTAGGTAAAAATAAATCTGCACTTAAAGGCGAAATATGTCAATGTCAGCTTTAATATCAACTTTATTTGTATTGTACATTTACTACAACACCTACTGCCCAAACCCCAAAGGAAAAAGTACAAAATACACAAATGTAAATATACTTGTTCTGTTAGCTAAGCTTAATTTAAGAGTCAAAGTATGCTAAAGTAAAAAAAAAAAAAATTATATATATATATATATATATACAATATTTTTGTTAGTTCTCAAAGGACTGAAATTGTTACAATATTCAATTGCAGCCCTTATAATCTGCTTTGTTTACCCTTTGCTGCTGCTGCTTGGCCACTCTTTTCTCTGTGTACACAAATTCAAAAAGCAAAGCAATAATTATCTCATTACTTATAGGGTTCATTAGTAGAAGTGTGTAAGTCACCACAACACTTCCAAAAATCCATATTTACTGTCGTTCAGTGCTGTGGAATGTGATGACATATGAACCATCTGGCAACAATGTCACTATTGAGGATCAAGACAAGCCCCTCCTTATCTTATCTTAGAGGCGTGGTTTCCGTGTGTGTTTGTGATCAGCAGTGGCCCAAGGATCGCCTTCATTGCCAGATTAAAGTTCACATACTTCTTAAAGTCATGGAGCGGACTGGAGAACGAATGTGTTTAGTCCTGTGACTGAAGTAAAAATGATTCCAAAAATAAAATGCCTGTGATTCTAATATTAGGACAAAATGTATTTAAATGTGTTTGTATAGCGTTGTTTATGTCGCATACAGAGAGCATATTTTCAGAAAGCTTGTTACATACTTGTATTACCCCTTTTAGAGGTTTTTCAGAAATGTCATGTGAAACGGACAAAAGGGAGAGCCATGAAACTAAAGCCTAGCGTACATCGACATAGAAACTGGGGACAACTAGTTGCAAGGCGGCTTTTGGCAACTGAGAGGAGATGGTGGGAGATGATCAGTTGCCGAAATCGGTCGATGTGCGCGCTCTTACAACTGGAGATGATCAGTCGGTCTCCAGTTTCAGTCAGTTGCCCGTGTTCTACTTTTCGGCAACTAGTTGTCCTCAGTTTCGGAGATATGACCCGATGTGCGCGCTCCATGCGCCGCTCCGACAACGTGTGTGTATTGCGTGTATTGCGAGCCCGCAACAGTTTATGTCAGAAAACACACTGTAGTTGAGGCCAGTTGCTGTCGATGTACGCGCTGTTATTCCCGAGACTGGTCTGCTACTGGGAGTTGCCCGTTTTCGTCAGATTGTCGATGTGTGTGGGGCAGCAACTCATATGCGACGGATATAATCAGTTGCCAGTCCGATGTACGCTAAGCTTTAGAGATTGAACACTACTTAAAGGTCCGTTATGTAACTTTTTATGTTGGAGAAAAAGAGGAGAGTTCTCTGTCTGGTGCATACTTGGGTAGTCTTGCACAGTTTTTCCAATGTGGTTTTACTGCAAATGGCAAATCAATAAATCTGAATCTGAAGAGTCGTGCATGGTGTCTTAAGGTTTGATTAGGATTGTGTCTTCAGAGCTCCAGGACCAATTGTTTTGTGTTTTTTCCTGTGAGAGTGTTTGACAGCAGAGTAACAACTGAGCATCCTCGAGACCTCTGCAACAGGAAGTGATCACTCATACAGCCGATGGGTCTCTAAATGGTCAAATACGGAAAATTGTATTAAAAAGAAAAATCACCTAAACAAGAACATAGGC